GGGAGGGGGTGGGCTGGGTGGGGAGCGAGGTGCCTGCAGATCATCCTTAATTGTGAGCTCTGCTTCTGACTGTGTATGTTGTTTCCTAAGCATGAGCCATTTGCTGGAAATGTTTTCTATGTAAATTGAGTTAGTTGTGTTCATCCTCATAAATGTCTTCCATGTTTTTAGATAATGAAATTTGTTAGCTACAGCCAATGGAATAAATTACTCTTCACATGGAAACCAAAGTTAAGTTGTGGATTTATTTTGGTCTTTTGGAAACTCAGTTTAGAAATGTTGTTTGGCTATTTTAGGACGTTGTTTAAGGATGCATCCGGAAACCTTGACAAAAATGCCAGATTCTCTGCTCTCTACAGGCAAGACAGCAATAAGCTCTCCAATGATGACATGCTCAAGTTACTGGCAGACTTCCGGAAGTGAGTCTCAAAGCCTTACTTATTATTTGCACACCTGAGAAACAGAAGGTGTTTGCTGGGGAGGGGGGCAGTAGGCTTCATTCAAATGTCAAAGGGCCTGTTGGGTAAGCATGGAACTTTACCTCATGTCCTTGGGAAGGAAGAAAAGGTTTAAAATTGAAGAGTGTCCTGGTTAATTTGAATTCTTTAAATGATGTTTTTGGTGGTGCTGTGGAGGGTGGGATGAGAGTAGAGATGAGCATAGGGAGGAAGGAGACAGTTGAGGGACCTTTGGCAAGAGATGGGAAAGGACTCAGCAAAGCCAGTGCAAGTGGCAGTGAGAGAAGGGGACTAATTGGGGTCACATCAGGGGATGCACTGTTCCCGATTGGGTGAAGGGTGGAAGGAGAGAGCAGTGGGTGGGTGGCACAATGGAGTGACTCAGGTACCATTAATTGAATGAGTGATGGAAGGGGGAAGGACAATAACTTATATAGTGCTTGCTGTTTACAAGCATTGTTTCGAATGAATTACCCATATTCATGAGTGTATGAGTTTCCTAGAGCTGCCAAAACAAAGTGCCACAGACTGGGTGGCTTAAACCCATGGAAATATATTCCCTCGCAATTCTGGAGGCTAGAAGTCCAAAACCAAGACATTGCAGGGCCGCACTTGCTCCAAAATCTCTAGGGGAGGATCGTTCCTTGCTTCTTTCAGCTCTGATGACCCCAGGTGTTCCTCGGCTTGTGGCAGCATTGTTCCAGTGACTGCCTCTGGCTTCACGTGGCCGCTTTCCCGTGCGTCTCTGGTGCGAGTCCTTATAAAGGAACGTGTCATACTGGATTAGGGCCAACTCCAGTGACCTCATCTTCTCTTGATTACATCTGTAAAGACCCTATTTCCAAATAAGGAGACATTCATAGGTACCAGGGGTTAGGACTTTAGCAGGTGTGTTTGGAGACACCATTCGGCCCACAACAAGGCGGTGAAGAGAGGGCAAGCAGTGGCCGGAGCAGCCTGGCTGAGAATCTTCTATCGCTGTGTGATAGGTGTTCCTATTTGGTGTTCCATCATAATGAGTTCACTTTGAAACTTAGAAAACTGATTTCCTTTGCTAGGGACATGGTTTTAGACATTCTCTGGGAAAATTTTGGGAATGAGAAAGAATTGAGGGTATTAAAAAATAATGAAATGAAAAGAATGGCCAAGAGCCAGCGTCTCGTTATTCTGTACCATAGGAGCTTTACAGTCTTAGCTTTTTATTTTGGAAAAACAAAAAACAAACAAAAAAACACATTTCAAAGTAACAGTGTCACTTTGCTTAGAACTCAGGACTGGTTGTTAAAAGTTCATTTTTGCCTTGTTCTTACTTCTCTCGCCCTGATTTTTCAGAATTCTAAATAGAGTCGTAATTAGCATCTCTTAAAAACGTTTACTTACTAATAGTGAGTATTATCATATATAGCATGTCATCATACAGTAATTACTATCATGTTTCCCCTTTGCTTGTAGAATAAAAAGTCATTTTACTTTATTTTGTTTTTTGAAAACTCCGGTCACCTTTAGTTAAATAGATTATAGTTTTCTTGCACTAGACTACCATACAGTTCTTAATAATCATGATGTGGGTCCAAATGTAATCACTTAAGAAGGTGTATATACTATCTTGTTCAGGAGGAGAAAGTGTATCTGTGTCACCTCATTTTTGAGAAGGAAGTATTTTATATATTGCCTTTTGTGTGTAAATGAAGAAATGGATAGGCCAATAGCTAACCAGATGGAAAGACAGGCATAAAATAGTCATATGGGATATACACCAAAATGGTGGTCATGGTTGTCTCTGAGGGATGGGTGTATGGATGGCTTTTCACTTCTACTTTATAGCTTTCCATGATTTTACATGGATTTTTTTTTTAAAGATTTTATTTATTTATTTGACAGAGAGATACACACACAGCGAGAGAGGGAACACAAGCAGAGGGAGGGGGAGAGGGAGAAGCAGGCTTCCCGCGGAGCAGGGAGCCCAGTGCAGGGCTCGATCCCAGAACCCTGGGATCATGACCTGAGCCGAAGGCAGACGCTTAACGACTGAGCCACCCAGGCGCCCCAAGGACTTTCTTTTTTTTTTTAAATTTACTTTTATATTCTGACAAATAATGGAGTTCTTTATGTGTGTTGGAGTTTGGAAGCCCTATCAAAAGTTACGTCCTACACTGACTAGCTTGAGACTACCCTGGCTAGTGGTGCTGCTTTGGTGGTAGCCCCAGCTCACAGTTCCGTTCCTCAGTGCAGGCCGAAGGGTAGGACTCTACAGGTTCGTTAATGAAAAAATTATCTGAGCCAAGAGGCCATGGCCAGGCAGCAAAAAGCACAGACCTTCCCTGGTTCAGAGCCCAGCAGCATTCTCCCTGCACGCCGGGCCTTCATGGGTGTGCTCAGGAGGAAGGATCTTGTGGGAGGAGCGTGCTCCCAAGGGCCAGTGAGAGACACGGAAACCTGCAAATAGGGATGTGATGCTATCAGCATCAGAAGGTGCAGCTGTTATAGGGGAAGCTTTGTCTTTCCTTCTCAGCAGGAATCCAGAGAAATGCCCATGTCCACTCCCTATGCTTGCCACAGTGGAATTAGGGAACTGGAGGTTTCCTTTTTCCTTTTTTTCCTTTTTCCTTTCTAACCTTAGCATTGCTCTTTTTCTTTCCTATCTCTGTCTCTCTCTCTCTCTCTCTATCTATTTATTTATTTTTTACAGAGAATAATCCTGTGTCACTGGCCTGGGCACCACCTTGGGTGCAAAGCTATTGCTTCTGCTCACATGATTGTCTCAAAATGTCATTTAGTAATGGATGGGAAAAATTTTCTCAAGCTGCCCCAGTCTAGAAAACAGCTGCCAAATCGCATAAGCCACTTCTCCCTTTCCCTCGCAGTAACTACCAGGGGACGTGTTCCAAGATTTAGTAAGAAAACAGTTCTGTCAGGTAGATGGTATTGCTGACATACATGCTTCCAGAAATATTTATCTAAGAAGAAACACTTGGTATTTTATGCTTGATTTGCTCATGATGGTGTCTTTTCTAAATTCTGCAGGAAATCTGAAAGCATGAAGGTAAAGTATAAAAATAGACATTCCCTTTTAAATGTAAACCTTTTTTTTTTTTTTTTCCGGTGCAAAAAGGTGTTTTTATTAAAGCATGGAGACAGGACTGTGGGCAGGAAGAGCTGCCTAAATATAAACCTTTGTTAATGCTACCATACTGGGTAGTTTAGTTAATAATATTATTAGGGTTTGTGCATGAGACTTATGTATATGTGTTTATTTGTACCTCTGTGTTCTTTGTGCCCAAGTTTGACATTCTTATCCCCGTTTCCCTTTGGTTACACTGCACTCAAGCTGGGTGGGGCTACTTGCCTTTCTCTTAAGCCATTGGGTACTTTCACCCCACCACGCTTTGCCCTCTGCCTAAATCGTGCCCTCTTCTGCTTTGGCACTCTGAGGGACCCCTACTCCTCTTTCAGAGTCCAGTCTGTAACTCACGTCCATGTTGGGAGACCTGGGGCAGGTTGTGCAGCTCCTCTGCTTGAGTCTCCTCTTCTTTTTAAGGGGGAACCCTAATGGCCCTTGTAATCCTATAACTGTGGTGAGGAGTAAAGGAAAATGCATGTCAGAGTGCTTTCTCTCACCGAGAAGACTCATCTTGACCCCTTCCTTCTCAGTACACTAGACACTGGCCTTCCCGTGGAGGTTTGCACACACTGTATGAAAGTGGTTCTTACGTATGTCTTGTTGAGGACGGGAATCATACCGTGTTTGTGTTCTGTCTGGGTGCTCAGTCGAGTGTGTGTTGTATCACCATAAGCACTTGGTAAATGGTAATTGAAATTTCTCATAGACATCAATTCAGTGATTTCGTTTGAACAAAAACATCTCAAATTTCTTTCAATCACATAAACATTTTTTAAGTGACTCCAGAGCTTTTAGGGACTATTTCCTTTTACAAAAATATAGTTAGGAGATTAAACTCACTACCAACAGACCCAGGCATGCCTGTATTGCCAGTTAATCACTTTAATGGGTCAGGACAGACAGTAGAGAAGGGGGGGACCGGGCTGTGGAAACCCGGAGGTGAGGACACCCAGTCTGTTGGCGGGATGACTGCTGGTTTGTGATACTCCCCCTGCCTCTGGGGATTGTTGAGCAGTTGTATGGGCAATGGGAAGAGAAAACCTTTCCTTTTCCTAAGAGCGAGAGTTTGAGCCTCATTCCTAGGTTTATATGTAAACAAAAGCAGTTCCCAAATTCAAGACACCCTACGTGTGTCTACTTTATACATTTATTTAATGAAGTTTTAGGATGGGTTTTCATGCTCAAGTATTTTAAGTTTTGCGTGGAATATATATGCTTAACAGATTGAAAAACAACAACAACCTAATCCCAGTCATAAGAGAATTCGCTTTGTGTAATACACACACACACCTCCCATCACTTTGCAAATGCATATAAAAAAGGCAGAATTTTTGTTGTTTGTGAGGTTTTAATGTCTGATAAGCCAAGTTGAATAAAACCCCTAAACTTTTGAAGTAAGTTTAAGATTATATTTAAAAAACTAAGCTTCCACAAAGCCCATGTGCTGTGTGGTATGGAACTAAGCTCAGATCTGTGCTTTCTTGGAAATTCATGGACATAATGCCTCTATAGAAATAGCAGCCAGAAGTAAAAGCTCTCAGCAGAGGGAAGAAACCAAATGAGAAATAAGTATAGTTAGACACAGAAGTAAATAACACATTATACAAAGAGTTCCAGTGAAGATTGTTTAATTAAAATTTGTTGCTTAGAAATCCAGTTATCAAAAGTTCATATGAGGATGAGGTCAGAGTAATAGAAAAAGTGGTGAAGGAGGTACCTACTCATTTATGGGTAGAAGTAACTGGGAAGGGGTGAAATACAGAGCTCTTGAGTACTTATATTTGGAAGTATCCTTTGTAATAAACAGAATACTTCTGACTCGAGGAGGCAGAGGCAACGTCATAGGTGTCTCTAAGATTTGTGGGATGCAGTATTTTGTGGTATGCTGGCAGTGTTGACTTGTTTGGATGAAGAGGCAGAGCAAGGCACTATATGTCAGGAAAATTTATAGCTGCATAGAAACCCATGGGTCTAAGGGTTGATGTCCCTGAAGAGCTTTGTGTGAAGCTGAGAGAGACTCCGACAGTATATCATCTGGGGAGCACGCAGTATGCGGGAGACCAGCGACAGCTCCCAGGAAGTGATTGTCAAAGGCACAGTCTTCCTGCTAGTAGCAAAGAATATCGTGTTTTTGAACAAATCACACAGTGGGCACAGGGACAAGGGGTAGGGGTGATGCTGGGCTGTCACTGGACATCTTTTGGCCAGAAATCTTTTTAACTGAAGGCAGAATATGTGGAAAATTGTGGACTTGCCTTCCTGATAGTGATCTCTCTCAGGATTTCAAGGAATTGCTCATTTAAACTCAGATATAAACAAAAGACAGGTGGAAAGGAGAGAAACGCTAGGAGAAACGCTGGAAGTTGGAGCTGGTCGTGGGCAAAGATGAATGTGCTCAGCATGGTCTTGTAAGGACAAGAATTTAAGACTGTTGGGGCGCCTGGGTGGTGCGGTCTGTTAAGCATTCAGCTCTTGGTTTTGGCGCAGTCTCAGCGTTGTGAGATTGAGCCCCGCGTCAGGCTCTGTGCTCAGTGGGGAGTCCGCTTGAGATTCTCTCTCCGTCTCTCTCTGCCCCTCTGCTTGTGTGCATGCTCTCTCCTCTCTAAAATAAAATAAATAAATCATAAAAAAAAAAAATTTAGGACTGTTAGGAAGTCCTGATGCAGGTGAACAATACCCCAGAATAGACTGACATGTTACCTGTGAGGCTGCTTAACAGGTAACAGGAGCTAGGATAGGAACTTTTCAAAAATAGGAATAAAACCAAATGCAGAATCTGTAGGCCAAAGAGCTTTGATGTTTTTTGGCAGTGTTTTAAAAGACATTATTAAACAGGGGGCTTATGAAGAACCATGAGGCAGCATTCTGTTTTCTAGGAATAAGTCATATCATGTTGAACTAGTCATCCTAACTACATTTCTGCTTTTCTTTTTTTAATTGGGTTTCTAAACTGGTACCACAGAGGAATGGAAAGCCTCTGACAAGTATATATTCTAATGTCCTGTGAACAAGTCAGAGAAGTGTAGTATGCATGAGTTGGACAGTTGTTCGACTGCTGGAGTAACCAGACGCCAGGACCGGTGATGCATGGGCTACTATCAGGCTGCCGATGGGCCTTTAGAGGCTTGAGAAGGAACCTATGCTTGGCTGTATTCTGTGCAGTGTCATCATCAGTGACTTTCTTGAGAATATAACATGCTGATGAAATGCCTTCATGACATCAAACTATTAGGAATATCTAATACATTAGATGTTAGAATCTGGACTTAGGAGGCTTTGATCAACTAGAAATGGCTCAAATGTAAAAGAGTGAGATTTCCTCAAGGCAAAATCGAATCCTGTTCTGAGTTCCAAAAAACATAATTTTATGAATACAGGATGGAGAGAGATGGTATGGTAGTAGAGCATATAGAAAAAGATGTACATCACTATGATGGTGTGACTACCACAAAATAATAGTATTTGGCTACATTAGTAGAAGTGTATATTGTTCAAAACCAGATAGCTGCTTGATCCCCACCTGGTCAGACCTTTCTGGGCCTGTTGTATGCAGTTTGGGTGCCTGACATAAATGGGACGTTCTTCTAGGGGGAAATGGCATTGGAGGAAGGTCCAAAAACACTGAAAATGATGGACTTCAGCAAGATGTGGTTGCTGTTTGTAGATGGTTGAAAGGTGTTACACAACGAAGTGTAACCAGGGCGCTTGGTGAGTGGAAGTTCCAGAGAGGCAAAGTGAGGAAGAGCGATCTGGGTGTCAAAATGGCTATGTTGAAAGTTTCCCTCCAGCTAGGAGGGGGTGATGTGGTAGCAGTTCTCGTCAGGAACGTCACAGAGGAGATTCTCGGACTGAGTTAGACCAAATACAAATCAGCCATTTCACTGCATACCTACTTTGTGTCCAGCATTTCACTAGACACGGGAGCCTAAGATGGCTTCTAGCTCTGTATTTTCATGACTCGAGCCAAGAATGGGGGTGAGGATAGAGTGGTTCACGAAAACAGTAGCTATACCATCTTGCCGATATTCTTACCTAGATTTGTGCAGTCTAACACGGGAGCCACTGGCCACAGGTGACTACTGAACACGAGGAATACAGCAAGTCTGAACTGAGATGAGTTATAAGTGTAAAATACATCTGGATTCAGAGAATTAGAATAACTTTTTATACTGATTACATATTGAAATAAGAACTTTCGGGATATATTGGGTTAAATAAATATATTCTTAAAACTAATTTTACCTGTTTCTTTTTACCTTTTAAAGTGTGGCTTCTAGAAGGTTTAAAATTACTTTTGTGGCTCACATTATATTTCCCTGGGAAGTGCTGCTCTGGAATTTAGGTTTTAGAGCTAACCTAACTTATAAACGTGTGATTTTTCTCTTCTTCTGTTCCTAGGCCTGAGAAGATGGCGAAGCTCCCAGTGATTTTGGGCAATCTAGACATTACAATTGATAATGTTTCCTCCGACTTTCCTAGTAAGTATAAGTTCTCTGTAATAACCAGACAAAGTTCTTTTTGACTTTTACTTCAATTTGTTTGTTTTTAATTTTCCAGATTATGTCAATTCATCATACATTCCCATGAAGCAATTTGAAACCTGTAGTAAAACTCCAGTCACATTTGAAGTCGAGGAATTTGTGCCCTGCATACCCAAACACACTCAGCCTTATACCATCTACAACAATCACCTTTATGTTTATCCTAAGTACTTGAAATATGACAGTCAAAAGTCTTTTGCCAAGGTGAGTACAAAGATCAAGGTTTGTTTTGATATCAGACTCTCTTGGGTTTTGGCTTCTCATGTTCTTTTATAAATACTTACATTAAAAAATAAAAAATAAATAAATACATATTCTGGCTTTTTGTTTCATTTGCTATTTCTTTTTTCTTTAAATATTGCTGCAGGCCAGAAATATTGCTATTTGCATTGAATTCAAAGATTCAGATGAGGAAGACTCTCAGCCTCTGAAGGTTTGTTTTTTATATATGTTTGCATTTTTCCATTTTAAAAATGGACCTGTGTGATATTGCACAACTAAAGGAATTTAACACATTATAATCAACACAGACACAAAAATACGTGACATCACAATATATAACCACATGTGCTGAACCTTACAGAATATGGAGTAATTGAGTTCTTGCTCCTCACTGACTGTTCCTGTTTTGTTATACTCTTTAGGGATGAAGGTTTCTTATGTATGTTCAATTCAGTAAACATACCATGTCTTACTATGAGCCAGGCATTGTGTGGGTGCTAAGAATTGTATTAGTAAGATTGGTAACAGAAATAATAATAAAAATAGATTGATATTTGTTGTTTATCATAGTATAGTAATAATAGGTAATAAATTAGTGGTGATGTTTATGGAATGCTTACTATAATGCAGTCTCTGAGCTTAGAGCCTTATAGGTATTAAGCTCCTTTAATTCCCCTAAGTATTTTTTAGATGAGACTAATGCACAGAATTTAAATAAGTTGCTTCAGCCAATCCATTAGTGGAATCACTATTCAAACTCAGGTAGTCTGGCTCCAAATTCTTTACTGTAACTATGTGGAAATGACTTTGCAAGAAGGGAAGGAGACAAAGATGCAAAGAAGAATATAATAATAGTTTTTGCCCTCACGAAATTCACGGCTTAGTGGGAAAGGTAGTCATGGAGAAAAAACTCCTGGCACATAGAAATGGTTTGTTGTCAAAACTGAATAATTAATATAAAAATGCTGAGGGGTCACAGAGGAAGGATGGACACATGGAAGTTTGGTGCACATGGAAGGGAAGATCATTCAGACGGAGGGATTGCATGAGCGCAGGCATGGAGGTGTGAAAGGAAACTGTGGTCAAGGTGCTGTCTAGTTACAGCAAGGACAGGTGTGTGTGCTTGGGGAGGGGAGGTGGTGCTGGTAGATGGACTGGAGGATGGGTTGGACCCAGGAGTAAGGGGGCTTAGGGGTCTGGAGTCTCTTAGGTAGAAGAAATCCATCAGAGGTGGTTATAAGTTTATGCTGTAGGAATGCCTCTTGACACATCTGAGTTTAATTTCTGACTCTGTTAATTAAATACTGGTGTCTTTCTTTGCTAACTCTTAACTTTAGTGCATTTATGGCAGACCGGGTGGACCAGTGTTCACAAGAAGCGCCTTTGCTGCAGTTTTACACCATCACCAAAACCCCGAATTTTATGATGAGGTAAACAAGGTTTTCTTTTCTTTTCTTTTTTTAAAGACTTTATTTATTTGACAGAGAGAGACAGCGAGAGAGGGAACACAAGCAGGGGGAGTGGGAGAGAGAGAAGCAGGCTTCCTGCTGAGCAGGGAGCCCAACGCGAGGCTCAATCCCAGGACCCTGAGATCATGACCCGAGCCGAAGGCAGACGCTTAACGACTGAGCCACCCAGGCGCCCCCAAACAAGGAGGTTTTCAAGGGAAAACCCAGTTAACCAGTTTTAAGGAAAACTCTTTAAGTTCTTTGCTTAGTAAAGCAAAAAACAAGAGAAACTGCATACTATACTGGAATTACAGCGCTAGAACTAAATGTTGAAGTATTTATTTTACATCGTCTTTTCTAATTACAAAAGTAACATTCATTCTAAAAACTTGAAAAATGCAGATAATAGAAAAGAAAAAGTCAAAATCTCTCCTCTATTACTACCACAATTAATATTCTGACATATATTCTTTCAAATTCATACTTAAGGATAGTTATATTTGTCAGACCTGAGAATCTTTCTTTCTCATTATTGGGTTTCTTTATGTAGAATGATAGTGTAGTTCATTAAAACTACTATATGAATCTTACTTTTAAATGTTCTATCCTGGTTTTTCATCATGCTGTTGCTGTGTTAAGTTCATATAGTGGTTGATGTCGTGGTTTCCAGTTCTTTCTAGGGTTGAAATACCAATTCTCCCATTTCTGGTCGGTGAATGTCTTGGTCTGTTCAGGCTACTGTAACAAAATACCAGACTGGGTGGATTGTAAACAGCAGATATTTACTGCTCACAGTTCTGGAGGCTGAAGTTGTAGGTCATGATGCCAACATGGCCGGGTGACAGCCATCTTCCTCCTGGTCACAATTGTACCCTCACATGGTGGAAAGGGAGGGGGGAGGGCTTTGTTGGATCTCTTGTAAGAGCATTAATCCCATTCATGAGGGCTCCACCCTCATGACCTAATCACCCCCAAAGACCCCACCTCCAAATACCATCACCTGGAGGGGTTAGGGTTTTAACATACCAATTTGGGAGGTGGGTGGGGACACACACATTCAGCCCATAACAGTGTATTATGGATCCATTTCTTCTTTAGCACAGTTTATGTTCTCTGATTTATTTGACTGCAAATGTTAATATGAGTTTGGAGACCCAATGCACAAGTGACATGTCGTGTGGCTGCTTTCATTGAGAATTTTTGTTTTAAGATATTAAAAAGGTTGTTATTTTGTCTTCCTTGCAGATTAAAATAGAACTGCCCACCCAGCTGCACGAAAAGCACCACTTGTTGTTCACATTCTTCCATGTCAGCTGTGATAATTCAAGTAAAGGGAGCACAAAGAAGAAGGATGTTGTTGAAACACAAGGTTTGGGATTTCATCATTCCCTTGATTGTGCATAACTTACATATTAGGTTCTTAAGTTTTATTTTGATTCTGAACCCTCATCCTCTTGTGGAATTTTTATTTTTTTAAAGATTTTATTTATTTGGCGGGGGGAGAGCATGAGCCAGGGGAGGGGCAGAGGGGGAGGGACAAGCAGACTCCCCACTGAGCACGGAGCCCAATGTGGGGCTCCATCCCAGGACCCGTAGATCTTGACCTGAGCCAAAGTCAGACGCTACTGAGCCACCCAGGCGTGCCCCTTTGTGGAGTTTTTAGATGAAGTTTGTGAAGGTAGCATGCCTGATCTGCATATGTAAGTTTTTATAAAAGATCATTTTAGAATTATAATCCCAAAGAGGCCAAAGTACATTGTAGACAATGTTCTGCAGAGACTAGATTCCGGGCCTTAAAGATCAGGCAGTTTAATGGCATTGACTTTCTTTCATACGTTTTCAAATACCTACAGTGAAGTTTTTTGTGCTTTTTTTCAACAGTTGGATATTCCTGGCTTCCTCTCCTGAAGGATGGAAGGGTGGTGACTAGTGAACAGCACGTTCCTGTCTCAGCCAATCTCCCATCTGGCTACCTTGGCTACCAGGAGCTTGGGATGGGCAGGGTATAGGACTTTAAGATTGATTTATCCTAGGACCTTCAGAAAACATGAAAAATCAACGAAAGCAAGAATAACACAAAAAAAGCACATAGTATTTTTGCTGGTCCCAACATTTTCGTTTTAGTTATTCATTTTCAAGTAAACATAGGGCAGTGGAAGGCAGTGCTACTGACAGCACAATTTAGAATTATGGTTTGGGCATTTTAGAAGCCCTGAACCAACAGCGTCTCAGCAGGCGAATGGAGACTTGGAGACACTGGATGAGGTAGAAGTTTTTCGCTGCACACTAGCCATGCTCAAGTAAGGGTGTGTTCTTAGAGTCACACAGACTATTAGGAATTGTCTTCCAGCTTAGGGTAAGTCTAGTAACAAATCTCGCCCACAGGGTAGCCCGTTCTGATACATTTTCTGATTCATTAAAGCCTGAATTTTCTTAGATTTCTCCAATCAGTTAGTTGGTTTTGCTTTTTTTTTTTTTTTTTAGCCATCTTAAGTTTTATAGACTTCAGTTTTATAACAAGCTTAGGTAAGGTTTCATTTCATTTTAAATGGCTTTTAATGTTTCTCTGCATTTAAGTAGTGCCAAATTTGGGTCCGTGTTATGGACAAATGGTCAAAATATTCCAAAATCAGGGGAAATCATATAACATTCAGTTAAAATTGCTAGTCTGAACAAGAGAAAATGGAGGCTTCAAAAGTCAAAATAAGCACCCACAGATGATTAGCCCTTTCCCCATGTTAGGACCTCTTCTACTGTCCTATTTGCTGGATGCGGTATCTTCTGCCATCGCTTTCACAATCCTGAGCTCTGGTTTGGCTAAGTCATTGGTGAAATAGCCTTCTTTCCCTCTCAAATGGACAGTAATTCTACAGCTGCAACTAAGCAAAAGATAACTTAGAAAATCCAGGAAGGAGAGCACTGTACTTGGGGGAAGAAAGTGGGCAGAAATTAGTATTGGTTGCATTCCTGCTGTTAGCCAGCCGTAACTATTGAGTCACTGACGCTGTTTGGGCCTTTGACACCTCATCAGTCTCCTCTGTGAACGTGGTGTTTGAAGCCAAGATCACTAATCTGTTGGGATGTTTTTTTTCCCTTCCCTATCTTTTCAGCATTATGGTCCAGAAATTAAATGGGTAGACGGAAGCAAGCCACTGCTAAAAGTTTCAACTCACCTGGTTTCCACAGTGTATACTCAGGTATGTTTTATTCCACTAGCATTAGCAGTGATTGCCAAGTGAATGAGTTTGCACGATTTTTTGACAAAATGAAATCCTAATTGATATGTCATATGGATATATTTTTACTCTAGAGGTCCTTCATTGAAGAAAGTACATTATAAGGTGCTCCTATGTACTGATATAACTGAATAGTATAAGTTACATTTTTCAACAATTTCCTCTTTTGTTGGACGATCTTTGAAATCTTCTTTAAAATTTATTTTTATTTTTATCTCTTTGATGTTTTCATTTTTATATGATGAGTTTCATATCTAAATAAAACATGCATGCTGCAAGAAGCAGATACTCCTGTTTCCACAGCATTATGCTAATAGGCTTTCTTTCTTTCTCTTCTTTTTTTTCTTCCAGGATCAGCATTTACATAATTTTTTCCAGTACTGCCAGAAAACCGAATCTGGAGCCCAAGCCTTAGGGAGTGAACTTGTAAAATACCTTAAGGTATCAGATGACTTTCTTAGTAACCCCTTTTTAATGAGTTTGGGGTAGGTTGGGTTTTCTTTTTGGTGTCAAGTATTGTTCTTACCACTCGGGAACCTTGTAAGGATGTTCTTAGCTAGATACTCTCACGTTGATAGCTTCTGTGTGGTTTTAGATGGTGGCAAGAAGTGGATTCAGAAATAGGACAACTCCAGAACACTATATGTTAACTATACTGGAATTAAAAGAAAAAACTAATTAAAAAAAGAAAAGAAGAAGAAAAAGCGAAGAAATAGGACAACTCCTGCCTTCATCCTCATCCCACATGTACTGTTTTTAGGCCCAACTCAAAACACATTGTTCTTTGCATAGAAAATCACTCACTAACACAGGCCTATCTGTTGAGTGCTCCCCGGGTGCAGAGCACAGTAACAGGCACATAAGAAGTGTGCTTTAGTCCCACGGTTAAGTAATTTCTAGTTCACTATAGGAGATAACATAACCTTGGAGAATGTGTGCTAGGTAGGGGGAAAAAACCCAAAAAACAAACAAACAAACAAAAAACCCCTGAAAAAACAGAAAGAAGGCACATGCCCAACCCCAGTGTTGTGCAGGGGTTGGAGGCTCCCAGCATCACGGAATAGTGAGAACAAGGCGAGGTTTATCTAGGGGAGCTTTATCCAGAGTGTGGTTCCATGGGAATATTTTTTTAAAAGGAGAGTAGCTAAAAGAGCATCCTAGGCATGAGGACAAAATATAAGAAATGTGAGAAATGGGGGCACCTGGGTGGCTCAGTCAGTTAAGCGGTCAGCTCTTGATTTCAGATCAGGTTACAATCTCAGGGTCCTGGGATTGAGCCCCGCATTGGCCTCCATGCTCAGTGGGGAGTCTGCTTGAGATGCTCCCTTTCCCTCTGCCCCTCCCCGCACGTGCTTGCTCACTCTCAAATAAATAAATCTTTAAAAAAAAAAAAAGAAATGTGAGAAATGGAATACAAGTTTGTTTGACTTCAGCAAGGAACATGGAATGAGAGTTCTGAAATCACTGCTTGGCCAAGTACCCTTTCAGGTATCTCACAGAGAGCCTTATGACTTTAAGAAGAGTCTTTGTATTAGCTTTCTATTGCTGCTATAACAAATTACCACAAACTTGGTGGCTTCAAACAACACAAATTTATTTTCTTATACTTCTGTAGGTCCGAAGTCTGACACAGGCCTCACTGGGCTCAAATCAAGGTGTTATTAACATGGCTGAGTTCCTTTCTGGAAACTCTGGGAGTGAATCTGTTTCCTTGACCTTTCCCAGCCCTCATTCCTCATTCCTTTGCTTGTGACCTCTTCCTCCATCTCAAAGCCAACAATGTTCCATCTCTGACCATTCTTTCCTTAGGCACGTCTCCTCTGACTCTCTCCTTCTACCTCCCTCTTCCGACATTAAAGACCCTTGTGATGACTTTGTGTCCACCTGAATAATCCAGGATGGTCCCCCTACCTTAAGGCCACCTTAATTCCCTTTTGCCATGTAACATATTCACAGGTTCTGGGATTAGGATGTGAATATCTTTGTCCCTTATTCTGCCTGCCACTGCCTTCCATTGTTTAGATAGACTTCTTCCATCCTTGTTTGGAACTGAGTGGAAATTGCGTGGGGTTGGTCTCTTTTTTTTTTTTCCTGTAAGATTTTCCTTTATTTGAGAGAGAGAGCAGGGTTGATATCCTTTTAAGAAGATAACACAAATGGGGCGCCTGGGTGGCTCAGACGGTTAAGCGTCTGCCTTCGGCTCAGGTCATGATCCCAGAGTCCTGGGATCAAGTCCCGCATCGGGCTCCCTGCTCCTTGGGAGCCTGCTTCTCCCTCTGCTTCTCTCTCTCTCTCATGAATAAATAAATAAAATCTTTAAAAAAAAAAAAAAAAAAGAAGATAACACAAATGCCATTCCATATCTGTAGAGCCTGCATGCGATGGAAGGCCACGTGATGATCGCCTTCTTGCCCACCATCCTAAACCAGCTATTCCGCGTCCTCACCAGAGCAACCCAGGAGGAAGTTGCCGTCAATGTGACACGGTAAGAGAGGCGGATAGGCGGATACCTTCTTCCCTTTCAGTCTGTCCACATCTGGAGCACGGTCATACATATCTGGGATGCTAGTATGTGTTGACCATTATATTTAAGAAATTTCTTTTGATCCCATGTATAGGGACCCCATCTAATTACTCGTTTCCTTGTTTCCTGTGGTGCCAATAGCATCATCATTGTTCTGCAACTACTGTGTAATAATGAAATGTTTTCATTTTCACATTACTATTCATTGCTTTATTCATTTCTGTGGTGTGTAGGGTCATTATTCATGTGGTTGCCCAGTGCCATGAGGAAGGATTGGAGAGCCACTTGAGGTCATATGTTAAGGTATGTAAAATAAACGGTTCCGATCATTTAAATCTGTGGCTCTCCAATTTTCCTTCTAAGGACTCATTTTTTAAAAACCTAGTTATTTTGGGATGAAACTTAATACCTCTGCTTTCTCTTCTATACCTTAGCCAGTGCTTGTACCTGAATGAGAGGAAGTCCAGAGAGGGGCAGCCATTCATTTATTTACTTAATTTAATTTTTTCAATGTACATTTCTTATAATGGGTTTTGCAAATAATAATGACGTGGAATTTTAAAGAAGAATTTTAAGTCGCTCTTGGTAGGCCTTTGGTATAGCCCTATTGTTTTCATCTTTCTTTTTCCCAACTAAAATTTGCAGTAAAACTGTTTCTCCTGAGATGAGAAGGTTAGCACTGGCCACCATCAAATTAGATAATTATGTGGGACAGCAAGAGATGTCACTAGGATGAATATCAACAGGTTCTTCATTTATGTAACACTATTCAATAGACAAGAGTGACGGTTACCATTCTGAAAAGTTACACACATTCTATTTAGTCTTAAGACACCTCTGTAAATTACAGCTACGGAATCAAGTCACCCAGTGTCGGGTGACACATTCCTTGAAGTCCTTGGGAGGTGGAATTGTGGGCTGGAGGACCACTGACCTGAGCCAGGTGGTTCCCGTATTGTTATGGGTTCCCTGAAGGTATCCTGGGCTCCCTCTTTGTGTCACCCTTCCCTCCTTCTGTTACCACACCTTCCTCTCCCACCTTGCACTTGTACCTCAGTCCCTCACCGCCATCCCTTGGAGCCTCTCCTGCTTTCAGCCCATCCTAGATAACAGGGACATTAAAATATCTTTCCCTTTTCTTCAAAGTATGCTTATAAGGCTGAGCCATACATTGCTTCTGAATACAAGACCGTGCACGAAGAACTGACAAAAGCCATGACCACAATTCTCAAGCCTTCTGCTGACTTCCTCACCAGCAATAAACTACTTAAGGTATGTGGGGTGGGGGTGGGGGGGCAGTGTGGCTCTGCAGTATTGAAATTGTTGGAAGAAAATCCGAACGCGGTAGCCTGATCAGTTCACCCTTCTTGTGTGTTTTAGACAGTCACAACCTCCTAAAAAGGGGGTAAAGAGTTAGTTCTTTGGGACCAACTTTGCTGCATATACTTGTGCTTCTAACAGACCTGCAAAATATTACTATATTTAAAATTTCACGGGCTCTTAAGTTTTAAGAAGTCATTATATTCGAATGGGTGGAGGACACCGAGGTGGAGATTATAAAGGCAGCATCAGCAGGGGAGGCTCAGTCAGGAGGAAAGATCACAAATCTAATCCAGCAGTGCCTCTTGTTGGCTTGTGCCGTGCTGAGCGTGTGCACCCAGCTTCCTAGTGGGATGCAGTCCTTGTTGTGGGACACGCGAAAGCCGGAGAGCAGTTCCGTGCACCTCTGGTCCGATAATACTTTGCCGAGTGGTTCAGCCCTGCTTTGGGGTCGCACCTGTTTTGCATCTGTAACATTGTCAGCCTAAGAGAGTAAACATCTCGCCTCCTAATTTTTGGGTTTCTCACCGGATCCTTTTTTTTTTTTCTTTCAGTATTCATGGTTTTTCTTTGACGTTTTGATAAAATCCATGGCTCAGCATTTGATAGAGAACTCCAAAGTTAAGGTATGTCACTTCGATCAGGGCTTGTGTGGTGGCTCTTAGGGGCAAGTCTTTTTGTTGCTTTGTAGCTCACATTCACAAATGCTCTCTGTTGCCAGTTACAGCACAGTTCTAGGTGCTTTCCAAGTAAGAAAGCATTTTATTCCAAGTAATAAAGCCATAGGGCTATCATAAAGTACTGCCCCACATTTTATAGATGAAGAAACTGAGCCCGGAGTGAGTTACTTGCCGAGGCCTCACTGCTAGCGAATGGAGCAAATGGCCACGTTTTGAGACCAGTCTGGCTTGAAAGCCCACTCTCCTGAAGCATGTGTTACCAAGTCCAAAGAAAACTGTCTTTTCCTTTGTATAGCCTGGAAGTCTTCAAGTCTGTTGAAATGAGAGTAACAGTTTAAGCATTTAATGTAAATGTAATTACCCAGTCTTGAACATTGTAGACCTTTCTCAGGGACTTAGATGAGAGTGTCTGATGTTACTTCACGTCTCCTGGAAGCAGTGAAGGGAGTTGGAGATAACTCCTCGCTGAGGTGCCTGGGTGTGTGTGACACTGGGTCCCCATGCTGAAGGTGTCCTGGGGATACCCTTCAGGCCTCTCTGGACTGATGCCTGTCTGGGTGTGACTGGCTGTCTGAGGCTCAGTGTAGATACATTTTTATAAGATTCTAATGTGGTAAACTCAGTGGTCAAGTGACAAAGTCCCTTTTGAGATGTGCATACTCTTGGAGTTGCCGTTATGACTATGAATGAATGCTGTCTGCGTTGCATTGTGCAGGGTCTTGAGTCTCATGGAGAACAGGAGGCCCACGTGCAGGGAGCAGGTCATGGTGCCCAGCAATCTGTCACAGTGAATAAAGGGAGGACAGGGAGGCTACGGGGAAGGAGGGTGAAGATCTAGCTCCCTGCACCAGGGATCTGGACTCTGGGAGAAAGCCTTGGGAAAGGCTGCTGGATTTTGTCGGGCAGAAGATTGGCAGCTCAGAACTGAAAGCCACACTTTCCTCTAGTAGAATGGGCACTGGTGCCTGACCAGGTGGGTTTCTTCTTCTTTTTTTTTTTTCTTTCAATTCCGGTTTTAGTGCACAGGCAAATGCCAGATGGAGGTGGGCCCTGCTTTCCACAGAGTAACACACCATCTAAATCATGCCAGAATAGCCTGCCAAGTAAAAAACCTAGCAGATTGTCTACTTGGCAGTACGCAGCTAAGTGCGTGTGCACGCATGCACGCACACACACACACACACACGCACGCACACACATGCATGCACACACGCACGCACGCATGCACACACGCACGCACGCATGCATGCACACACGCAGGTCATTTGGATGTAGTACTTCTACGTTAAAAATGTCATGTGCAGGATAGGCTGTAGGCTTGCCTTAGTTTGCTCAGGCTTCCACAGCAAGTACCACAGCCTGGGTGTCCTTAACAATAGAAATTTATTTCCACGCAATTCTGGAGGCTAGAAGTCTGAGATCAAGGCGTCTGTAGGGTTGGTTTCTGAGGCCTCTCTCCTTGGCTTGTAGATGACTGTCTTCTCCCTGTGTCTGTGCATTGTCCCTTCTGTGCATGTCTGTGTCCAAATCTTCTCTTCTTATAAGGACACCAGTCTTGTTGGATTAAGGCTCACCTTAATGACCTCGTTTTAACTTAATTACCTCTTTAAAGATCCTGTCTCCAAATATAGTCATATTCTGAGAGACTCTGGGTTAGGACTTCAACATACGAATTTTAAGGAGACACAATTCATTCCATAACAAGGCCCCAATGGATTTTTCATTATTTTTGGCTCTGAGTAAATGTAATCACTCCAGAAAGATTGGTGGCTTGAGTATATTTAAAAATATAACTGTTTGTTCAGAAAGTATTCATTGAGAGCCCTTACTTATAGGCAAGCTCAAGGGTTACAAAGTTAAGTGAGGCATGCTTTGTGCTGCCCCAGAGTTTAGGTGGGAGAGTGCATGACTAGACCACGGGAGCAATGGTCAAAGAGGTAATGAACACTTTTGAAATACCCACAGAAGTGAAAGTACCGGGCTCCTGGGTAGCTCAGTTGGTTAAGCGTCTGCCTTCAGCTCAGGTCATGATCCCAGGGTCCTGGGATCAAGTCCCGCACCGGGCTCCCAGCTCAGCTGGGAGCCTGCTTCTCCTTCTGCCTGCCACTCCCCCTGCTGTCTGCTCTCTCACTCTCTCTCTGTCTCACTGTCAAAATAAATAAAATGTTAAAAAAGAAAAAGGAAGTATAGGTATCAGTAACATCTCTTTCTGAGAACTGTGATAGAAAATTTAAATAGAGTAATTTAATTGCATGTGTTTTTTTCTCAAGATGCTAAATTAAACCATAGAAATTTAGGGATGGTAGGGACCTGAAAGCTACCTTCTGGTCCAGCAGCTCCCATGTGCCGCAGAGGTTGAGATGGAGTATAGACCTGTGAGGTGCCCTGCACAGGGTCACATAGCAGAGCAGAGCCTAGAACTCATGCTAGAGTCAGAATCGGCTTCTCCCAGATGATCTGCCCTTTCCAGCCTTATAACCTAACTCTCCGGCACTTCTGGGAGGTAGTTTCTTTTTGGAACTCTTTAGAACAGACTGCTCAAATGCTACCATGCACAACCTTTTCTGTAAGTTAATTATATCTTGGCCCTAAAAGAGTATTCAGAGAGTTTTTAGAAGTAGTTTATTTAAAAATTGTTATCCAGCATAAAAAGAAACACACTGGCATCCAAAAGGAGAAAGCTTAACCATAAGATAATTTACTATAAAAAGAGATTCAAAATACCTACTTACCACTTTGGAGAGTTCTAACATTTCACTTCTAGAGGGCTCCCCTCTGACTTCTTCCACGTCACCTGACGCCATGCCACTCCTTCCCCGAATCACACATTATAGATCTAGGAACTTCTCACATATTTTGAAGGTTTTATTCATTTGCCTCATATCTTAGGAGTAATGAGTTTTATGTGTTTGAATTAGTTATTTTTAGGTCCGTCTTTATTTGCATCTTAAGAATTATATGTCCTCGTCCCTGATCCAGGTGTTCTGAATTGAGGGAACAAGTTTAAATTCACCATTCCTGTGCCATTTGTGATTTCCATGAGTCATGATCAAATTCCTCTCAGAGTTTTTATACTTTTAGACTGAGGATTATTAGTAAATCCAATGTGTTTATAAACCTGACCTTGATTTTTTTCCCTCATTGGTGAGTCTTTCTTAAAATGCCATGACCAGGCACACGTCTGTCTAGTAGGGGCACCTGGGCCACAGACTCATATAAGAGCCAAGTAATGCTTTCAGTGCAGCTGAAAGTGCCCTTCCCAAGAATATTTAGCATAGATCAGCATTTGGAGGCATAGTCTGTTGAGCTGAGGCTTGGGTGTACACTCTTGCTGGTACTGGGGTCATTCCATCTGCTGCATATTTATGTAGAAGGTGCATGCTGGTAGGCCAGCTTCTAATGCTACACTCTTGCTGAAGATGGACGTGGCCACATGTGTCCACCTCCCCATCCCAGCCAATCAAACTGCACTTTGTGCCATTTGTTGAGGAAGGCTGTAAATCAGAGCCTCCCTTTAACTAGCATCTAAAATAAGCGACTTCCTTACTACTGCAGATGGACCTGCAGAGTTTGGATTGATTACATATGACCGTGCCAGACTCAAGTGTTCCATAGGTGACATGTGCTTGGAATTTACAATAAGCAGTTTTTGAGGAAAATATAAAACCAACCTCGTCAAGGCCTACTAAGAAGTTCCCAACTCTGAACCCCACTCAGCCTCTATGCTCAACACATTTAAGGTGTTTCTTTTCTATCACTTATATTTAGCAGTTGTAATTTCAGCAGACTCTTTGGGAATTTCCTCTCCTCCCACCTTGAATCAAGCCAAATTGCTAGCATTCCACAGGTGAACTTCTTGCAGGTTGGAAAATGTGGCCTAGGATAGGATGAATATATAACCTCAGTTAGGTGTTTAGCCTTCAGCCATTTCCTGACTTAATTGAGCAAGGAAAGAGTGTTCAAATGAAAAGTAGGGAAAGGATGGTATGCTCCATGTACCATGGACTGCCTGTACTTCCCCCAAACTATAAACGCGTGATGGCAGAACGTGAATATCCATACTCCCATCCACGAGCGCGTGTTTGGAACCGTCCTTGGCTATGCCCAGAGCACAGAGGAGCTATGCAAATGGCAGAGATGGTGCATCGGCAGCCTTGGAGCTGACGCCATCCTGGGAGGAAGAAGACATTCGGCTGGACACGGTTCGAGAACAGTGAAGAGGGTGTATGTGTGAGCTCCAAAATGATAAAGCATTGTGGAGGTTGGGGTGGAACTTTACCTGGAAGGATGCCACACTTAGGGAGAAGACAGTGAACATGAAGCAGGAGAAAGAGCTCATACCCAGGTAAGGCCAGGAAAATGAAGTTTATTAGCTAATAGTCTTATTTATTATATCTCAGGGAGCCGTGACATAGCCTGTAGAAAAGAGTGCTCTAACCCCTAGAGAGTAGAAGAACACAGTAAGGAAAAGAGAACCAGACATTTGAGTGCTCCCTTGTAAAGGAAGCAGTGATTTGGGTAGCAGTCGCTGTCGGAGCCCAGACAAGACATGTTGGACGTGGTGAAACCCGTCGCTGGTGTCTGCAGACCGGCTGTTAGCAGTGGGGCTCACAGGGCCCTTCGCAGCATGGCTGAGTGTGGGTGGTCAGGGAGAATCCACTCAGGCCAGGGGTCAGGCGGCAGGAGCCGAGCAGCCGGCAGGATGGCACAGAGGTGTCGGGCTCACAGCAGGGTAGGGGCATGGGGCACAGCAGGTCCGCCGGAGAAGGCTGATCTGGTGTGGACAGGCGTTGGGGAGGCAGACCCCACACCGGCAGTATGTGTCAGAGGAGCAGATCACGGTGGCCGGGCCACTGGGGATGCTGCAGCAGAGCCGAGAGGAGATCCTACAGCAGGACAGGTCAGGAGTAGGGGTTTCGTCTGGCTGACAACTGTCTTCGTGTCTCAGTGTCCTCTCCTCCGAGCTCGCGCGTCTGTACTCACCGCTCTGGACAGCTGCCCATTGTCCTAGATCATTTTCTTCTGTTTCAGTGTATAGTAGTCTCCATAGCAACATCTAATTACTTTGGTCTTTATCACCTTTAGATGCGTCTTACCTCACTGTTTTGTTGCCAAATTAGGGCTCCTGACAATAGCTATTTGTCACTGCACGGAGAGCTTCATTTCAGTCTTCAAAGGCACTGAGTTGACCCCTAATCATGGAAGAGCTTGGTTGGTTGGTTGGTTGGTATGTTAATTATCCACCATTCTTCACCACATTTTCTTTCTTTTTAATGAAAACTTCTTATTATAGAAAGTTTTAAATAAACATGAAAGGAAAGAGAAAAGTTGAATGAATCTCATGTTTGAAGCTCTGTCACTCACCTTCAACAGTTATTGGCATGCTGCCATTGTGACTTTACATCTCACACTGTTTTCAGAGCATTTTAAAAACAATCACCAAATATTCTGTCATTTCATCTGTAAACACTTGAGTGTGTCCTATCTAACAGAGAAAGCCTTTGAAGAGATGGAAGCACTGTACCATTATGATACTCAACAAAGTCAGCGACATTTCTTCTTTGTCTTTGGACACCCTGTCTGTATTCAGTTTTCCCCAGGTGTCTCAGAAATGCCCTTTGACGGTCGGCTGGTCTGAATCAGGATATAAACACAGTCTGCACATTGCATGTGGTTGATGTGTCTCTGAAGTTTCTTAGATTTTCAAACTGTCCCTTCTCCATTTGTTTGCTTTTTAATGCAGTGTATTTGTTGAAGTAGGGGGGCCCTTTGTCCTGCAGAATTGCCCACATTGTAACCTCACAGTGTTACATGGCATGGTCCTTTGTCCCCCATGGTTCCTGTAAACTTGTGGTGATGTTGAAGCTCAGTTTGATTTAGGTTTGGTTTGCTTTGGGGCAAGAATACTTCATAACTGGTACTGCTGCATCACATCGGGAGTCATACAATGTCTGGTTGTCCCACTTTTTGTTTTGATAATAGTGACTAATAGGTTAAGTGGTGCCCACCCCATCCATCCACTTTTCATGGTTTAAGCAGCCATTGATGAAGCCCCATTCTGAATGCCTCAGGTGTTTCCTGAGAGACCTTTATTCAGGAGTAGCCAGCTTGGGTAGCGGGCAGTCATGCCTGGTGGTTTGAGGTGGCCTTGCCTGGGGTCCAGGAGGCTGATCATCAACTGAGGCTGACCCCTCAGGATACAGAGTTATGGGGTTGCATATACAGAACAAAATCCCTTTGGAATTTCTAATTTTACAGTTCTGTTTTTGAAAGTGGGTAAACTTCAAATACTTAGTACTTGATCCTTCCCTCACTGGATTCTTGAGTTTATAAGTTTGCAAAGATTGTTTTATTATTTGTTTGAAAATTGAGATTATTATAAAGCTGGCATTTCAAAATTCACAATGGGTTCTGGTATTTAATGCATAAAATAATGCATGCAGAAATAACCAAATTTCAGTTCTAGTTTTAGAAAATACTGTTTCTTTGATACTGGGATACGGGTTTGGCTGTTGCAAAACAGACCAGAATAATGGTTTAAATAAGACAAAAGGTTCATTTCTCTTTTTTGGAAAATTATAAGCCAGTAGGCAGCTCTGAGAGTGGGGCGCTTGTCCCCCAGGGTTGGTCAAGGACTCAAGCTCCTCTCCAACTATCCAGCCCAGGTGTCACGCTCATCCAGGCTCACCCACCACCCCACATTCTAGTCAATGGTAAAGAAGACTTGGAAGGCAAGCATCCCATGGACATGGCTGGGAAAAGCACAGTCTTCCTCTTAGAGCCCATTGGCCAGAACTCAGTCACATGGCCTTTCTCTGGCCTCAAGTTAGGCTGGGAAATGAAGTCTCTAGCTTGGCAGCAGTGTGCACCTGTGAAACCCAGGGGTTTCACCACTAAAAGGGAGAAGGAAAGTCAGTTAGTACTTACTGAATCTCTCTAAGCTTCAGTTTTCTCATTTGTAAAATGGGGGTGAAGATAGACCCCCTGTTGTGGCTGTTAGAATCACATGCATGAGTGGATAAATGTCATGGAGCATATCATTCAGACCCCTTCACGTATCAGGTTCTCAGTAATTTTTCTCATTTATTGGGCACGTGGGTGGGGAAGCAAAGTGTCAAAGAGCAGAAAGAACACAGGCCTTGGACTCATGGTGGATCTGGGTTTGAATCTTTGTTACTTGTTAGTTCTTGACTGAAGACACATTTACCTGACCTCTCCAACCCTCTGTGAAATGAGAGTTAAAACTTGTAAGAATTTAATGAAAAAGCACGTAAAAACATGTACTAGTGCAATGCCTGATGTGTGGAAGATATACAGCCCATGATAGCTAACTGGTGAGGTCTGTATAATTTCGTAGGTAAGCATTCCTGATGGGGAGAAATTATTATGTAAAGTTAATTTGAAGAGGACTGTTTCTTTTTTTAATATTTTATTTATTTATTTGAGAGGGAGAGGGACAAGCAGATCCCGTGATCCTTGGGATCATGACCTGAGCTGAACGCAGATAACTTAACCAACTGGGCCATCGAGGCGCCCCTGAAGAGGACTGTTTCTAAGCAGAGTAAACCAGTGACATACAGTCTCTGATCTGTTTATTTTCCGTTTGAATACTTGAAGCTTAAACCTGAGCCACTGTTTTCTAAAGAGTTCTCTGAGAGGTACAGGCATTCAAGCCACCAGAAGTATCCAGTAAAGACGCAGCTCTGATGAGAATCTCTGGGAGTAGAGGTACATCTCCACTTCTTTACAAGTACCTCCGAGAGGATCTTTCTCAGGCTGAAGTTTGGGGTTTCAGGTCAAATGCACACCACTTATATGAGGTATCAGAATACCTGGACAGTATTTTGAGAGAAGAAAGAATAATTTCTCTTGTCTCATTTTAGATAAATAAGATTGGATCTCTGGGTTTTTTTAAAATGGACTCAGGGATATTTTTTTCCCCCAGAGGGTTGCAACTTTAAAAATAACACACGTTTGCTCTAAATTCTTTTTAGTTATTGCGAAACCAGAGATTTCCCGCATCCTATCATCACGCTGTGGAAACCGTTGTGAATATGCTGATGCCGCACATCACTCAGAAATTTCGAGATAATCCAGAGGCGTCTAAAAATGCAAATCACAGCCTTGCTGTGTTCATCAAGGTAGGGACCTCAGGGCGCAGAGGGTGTCATTCAAGTGGCGAAATGTTCATTCTAGCAGTGACTAGTATACAGTAAGTGCTCAGTCAAAGCCAATGGCGCATTTTTATGCTGTAGAATAAACTTATTAACAGTAAATGCTGATTTCAACCCAACTTTCAAAAAAAAAAAAGCTAGGGCCTAAATACTCACCTTTGTGGCTTGTTTCCCTGCAGAGATGTTTCACCTTCATGGACAGGGGCTTTGTCTTTAAGCAGATCAACAACTACATCAGCTGCTTTGCTCCTGGAGACCCGAAGGTAGCGTGTATGTTACACACTGTTTTTTTGTCTCACAGATTGACATCCAGAAACCCACCTGTTTCTCTGGGCTCACGTCACAGTTTTCTTTCCATCCCAGAGGCACTCTTGTCCCCTTTTGGAGATACTGACTAGTACTAACTAGTACTTGCATTAATGTGTAAGATATTAGGGATGCAATTCTGGATGTAAAATAAACATACTTACTGATTTCCTCATAAACAACCGAAAAGACTTCTCAACTGCAAAATTAAAAGTATATGTGTTGCGAATCATAGTTTATTTAACATGGTAATAGAAGTAACCATGTAGCCTTTCTCTGGTAGAATTATCTACCTCCTCCCTCCTGAGTCTATTTTAAAACTCTGCCTTACTCATTTTTTTTATTGTATTAAGTCTGTGTCTATAATTATAAGCTGCCTGAAATCCTGTTTGACGTAGGAGGAACATAAATAATAAATGTCCTAAGAGTTAGTGGAGGACACTGTTTAATGAAATGTGTTCCCAATTTTCAAACAAATGCCCACAGCCATTCTCAAATCTATAACATAGCATAGAGCACGCAGTTTTAAGAGGGTCAAGAAGCTAACGACTGGTTGTATGATTTCTAATAGGTTTTTAGGACGCTGTATAAAATATTCAGTGAGGCACTTAACTTTAACTAACCATTGTTCCCGGCAGACCCTCTTTGAATACAAGTTTGAATTTCTCCGTGTGGTATGCAATCACGAACATTATATACCTTTGAATTTACCGATGCCATTTGGAAAGGGCAGGATTCAGAGATACCAAGGTAATCTATCTTTATATATGTCAGTCTGAGTCTTTTCACAAAAAGCCCTTCATTTTTAGTAAGAGAATGATTCAGATATGACATTAGAATTTTCTGATTTTTTTTTGTTGATGAATTAAGTTTTTTCTTGTTAAATTTCCATTTAAAAAGCTATTGATAAAATGTTGTATGGGAACTTAACTTGTCAGCAAACTTATTAGACCTTAGGTCATGTCAGTGTGACTCTTTTTCATTGAAAAATTCCTTTTCTTAAATAGAAATCCATTTTACTTACTCTAGTTTATTTTTATTTGTTTCACTTTTCCTTTTTTCTTATGAATTAGCTTTTCTTTCACCAACTGTGGAGTCAAATGACACTCCTGTAGGTAGGTGTGGGGTGTGACGCTTGCTTTCTTGCATTTTCCTCCTGTAAAAGAAAAAGAATGCAAGTCATTGCTGAAATGCTTATATATGCTCTTCATTTAGGCATTTCCCATATACTTGGATCAGTTTTTAAATTCACGATAAACCAGTGAATTTATTCTCACTGTAGCTAAGGTACTGCTGTTAAAACCCCTGGGAGGGATCTGGGTTTTGCTCCTGGAGTCACCAGGTCCTCTAGGATATCTCTATAAGAGGTCAAACAAACAGAACGCCCTGTTTTACTCTAAAAATGTATTATTCCACCATTTTCATAGTCCTTGTCCATAGGGGTGGCAGTAACCTAAATCATAAGCAACATGGCTTTTCACATGCGTTTTATGTTTGCATGTTGAGTCTTTAACTGTTCTGTATCTTCTTAAAGTTTGAAGAGAGTAAATTCATAGAGATTTCTTTGTCTTCACTAAATCAAATGAATCAAATTAGTCTGTCAGGTCTGTCAGGTAATATTACTACATTTAGTGCCTTGTATGTACCTGGGGATTGATTATGCTGAAAGAAAAAGCAGAAGGATGCCACCAGACTATTAACGACACCCTAAATCAATGGCCTCTGAAATTCAGAGAGAAACACACAAAAGCATTCATTCAGAGACATAAATATCTTTCCTCAACATCAACTTGGACTACCTTTTAAGGAGCCAGAAGAGGGACTGGGGCCCTGGAGTTGGCATTCAACCGTGTCTAGGATGCACATGACTTTGGGAGGCAGTCATGGACAGCAAGGATGAAAATCCTTAGCTGTTTTACCTAAGTGAAGTATGTGCAGTATTAGTGATGAGGGCTTAGGAGAGAAAACTAAAGCCAGGAGGGGGGATATGAAATGAGCAGCAGGGCATGTGGGATAGGGTGGCCAGGAAAAGCCTCATGGCCAGGGTGACTTTGGAGTGATGATCAGAAGAAAGCCAGGAATTGAGTGTCCTGGGTCAAGGGAACAACTGGGTATTTGGCATCCCGAATGCAACCTGGCCCACCTGTCTCGTCTTACTCCCCGCTATTCCCCACACTTCAGACATTCCTGCTGACTCCCAGCTCCTCAAACATGGGCTTGCCCACCCCGACATTCCTCAGCCTCACACAGCCTCCTCTCTGGGGGAATCTTCGCCTTCCTCCCCAGATAGTCACTCAGCACCTCTTATGTGGAGCCTGCCATGTCTCCTTCTGCCTTCTCCTAGGACCCCAACCTCATTCCAAACCTTGTCTCACTCCCCTCATCTTGCAGTCAGTTACTAACCCACCTGTACTTGGAGACTGTGACTCTCTTCCTTTTTCCTGTCAGGGTATTGAGGGTAGTCCTTTATACCCTATGGCTGGGCAGTGAATGTGTGCTGATGCCCACCTTCCCCTATACCCTGTAGGGTCCTGTTTTTTTGTCCTACAGAGCTGAGGGACATGAAATCCTTCAGGTGCCCAGGAGACTCTTAAAAGCTCTTAGTAGACCATCAGGGTATTTGGTGGCAAGGGGGGCTGCCCTCGGCAGGTGGGTGAGGGTCACCTACAGATAATGTACCTTATGACACTGATAGGAGTACATGTTTTTAGCATTCCCCTTCCTCTCCCTTCTTACCTGTTCCCCCCTTCTCTGCATGCACGCACATGCACAGTTAAACCCATAGTATTTTCGTAAGGGCTTTATGTGAATTCAAGCTGTGCACTGTCATTAGGGTAAACAAAGCTTAAAAAACCATACAGTGGGCGTGATTATTCTGGAAAGATGGATACTTTCCCTTGCTTCTGCATAGGACTTGGGTCAGTATTTTGGATAGGTTTAGAAGTAACTAATAGGGAATCAAAGTCAAAGAAGGTGTCTATAGATTTTCCTCTAGTAATAGATTCAGTATAAGAATTCAGATCCTAGCCACAGCTTACTGAAAGGTGTATTTCAGCTTTAGATGGATGTGTAGCCACTTTTATTTACCCTCCTTCAGTAGATTTCGTGTTTCCTTCTATCCGCTCTCTGGAAGAGCTTTCCTTTTGATCATTTAGCTTGCTGATGATTTACTAGTTTAGTTGGTGTTTTGTGTATTTCAGTGTTAGTTTATATTAGTATTTTTTTAACTTGCTTTTAGAGGTGCAGAAGTATTGAATATATTTTTAAAAATCATGTTAAATAAGTTCTTCATTCAGGGACAGCAGAATAAAGAGGTTATATGCTAACTTGTTCATTTTAAACACATTGGGTTTTAATGGGAATATATAGGCTTTCATGACCAGGAAATGGATTAACGAACTCAAGTAGTAAAGGAAAATTTTAAGAGACCATGTATATTTATTCTTTCTTTAATTACGTTTGTTATGTACAGATTACTTCTCTATAATGTCAATTAGTCAGTAACTTTATTTTTTACCTTCATGTAAATAACAAAATTTCATTTGTAATATAACATGCTGTATGTTCTAAAAGTTGGTATTAAAACTATTCACTAACTTAATATTTATGCAAGATGTAATGTCTTCTAAAATCAAAATCCTGGGACGCCTGGGTGGCTCAGTTGGTTAAGCAACTGCCTTCGGCTCAGGTCATGATCCTAGAGTCCCGGGATCGAGTCCCACATCGGGCTCCCTGCTTGGCAGGGAGTCTGCTTCTCCCTCTGACCCTTCCCCCTCTCATGCTCTCTCTCTCATTCTCTCTCTCAAATAAATAAATAAAAATATTTTTAAATAAATAAATAAATAAATAAAATCAAAATCCAGTGCAATTATCTGTATTTAAATTTAAGAGTCTGATGTGATAAGAAGTGGAGCAGTATTTTAGATAAGTGACCTTTTCGCATTTGAAGCTAAGTCTAATCATCTGTTGACACACAGGGTGGGCTGAATGTAAAGGGTGGTTTTGACTTTTATTTTATTCAAAATGCGTGATAGCCTCTGTAACTAAAGCAGTATCTATCCTCATTTCAGATCTCCAGCTTGACTACTCATTAACAGACGAGTTCTGCAGAAACCACTTCTTGGTGGGACTGTTACTGAGGGAGGTGGGGACCGCCCTCCAGGAGTTTAGGGAGGTCCGGCTGATTGCCATCAGCGTGCTCAAGAACCTGCTGATAAAGCATTCTTTTGATGACAGATATGCTTCAAGGGTGAGTGGACTCCAATGGAAGGAAATACAGATTGATAAATGTCCTTTATTTTAAGTAATATGAAGAAAGTAACCCGTTAGAGAATTAGTGGTAACAGCACTAAGACTCTTCTCTGTTTACACACTAAAATCTAATAGAGGTCTTTATTTATTTATTTATTTTTAAAGATTATATTTATTTATTTGTCAGAGAGAGCACAAGCAGGGGGAGCAGCAGAGGGAGAAGCAGGCTCCCCACTGAGCCTGACGCAGGGCTTGATCCCAGGACACTGGGATCGTGACCTGAGCTGAAGGCAGATGCTCAACCGACTGAGCCACCCAGGCGCCCCCTTATAGCAGTCTTTATAGGAAGGATCCAAATGCAGGAGATGGCCAGTGCCAGCTCAGTCCATCATTCAGTTCTCAGGGCCATGGGATAAACTTGCGCTGTGTGCCTTTATTTCAGAGCCATCAAGCAAGGATAGCCACTCTCTACCTGCCTCTGTTCGGTCTGCTGATTGAGAATGTCCAGCGGATCAACGTGAGGGATGTGTCACCCTTCCCTGTGAACCCCGGCAGTGTACGTAAGCATACACACCTGGACACAGCCTGCATTTGTTTCCTGTGGCTACTGTAACCAAGCAACACACATGGGGTGGCCAAAACCAACAGAAATTCATTCTCTCCTAGTCAGGAGGCCAGAAGTCCAAAGTCAAGGTATCCACAGGGTTGGTTCCTTCTGGAGGCTGTGTGTGAAAAGTTTGTTCCATGCCTCTCTCCTAGCTTCCAGGGCTTGCCCAAAATCCTTGCATTCTTCGGCTTGTGGCAGCATCATTACAGTCTTGGCCTCTATCTTCACACGGCCTTCTTCCTGCTGTGTATCTGTAGAATCTCTGAAATCCTCTCCTTTTCTTACAAGAACACCAGTGATTGGATGGATGGCTCCTAATCCAGGATGACTTCATTTTACCTTCCATCTTAATCACATCTACAAAGATCCTATTTCCGAATAAGGTCACATTTTGAGGGTCCAGGTGGACATAAATTTGGGGGGATACTATTCAACCCAAGACACACCCATTCTTTTTTTTTTTTTTGCCACTAAAACCATAATAATCCATAGTACTCCTGATTAATTGCATTTCTGGCTAAGATGGGGTCAATCAGTAAACCTTCAACTCTTAGGCTGAAAATCATTATTTAAAACCATGCTTTCCTGATGGACCATACCTTGTAAGACATAAGGACCTTCTCTATACAGTCAACAAAAATTTATGGGGAGAGGAGGTTAAAAAGAAAAGCATAGTTCTAACCTGTATAGTATGAGAGCTCCATGCTAGCTCATTCTGATGGTAACATGCTACACAGTCTTGGAAAAGCCACATCTTTGGGCTACAATTTCTCTGTGTCTGTAAAATTAGATGTCAGGGAGGCCAACATGAGTGACATATGGCCCCACCTCCAAAAACTGACCAGTTTATATTATCTTCATGCAGTCATTGGAAGATGGATTGGAAATTAAGTTGCCTGAAGGATGATCCCAGAAATGATCTCAAAATGTTCAGGGTGGAGACTGTCTGGCATTCATTTGCACAGTGCTACAAGTGTAGTAATTTCCTTTTCCCTTTTATTCTGGGCCCATGAACGAGCTCAGTTGTTAGTCTTTCCACCTTGTGATTATTACATACACTTGGGGAATTTTCATGTTGTGTTTTGTCCCTCCCCCCCCCACAGTGATGCATTGTCCTGAGTTTTAATGCTGTCTCTCCACCTCTGAATACATGTCCTAAATAATGGCGCACTGAGACGTGCCACATGTGTAGAATGTGTTCTCTAGTTCCGAAGGGCACTAATCTCACCCCATACAATGTTGTGTTTCACACGTGTATTATCTGAACCTGTCTGCTTTTCTGATCCGAATAAGGAATTCAGGGTATAATGCTACCTCTTGTAGTTCTCCAATCCTGAGAAAATCACCAAAGAAAAACCCCTTTTATGACAGAACTTCAAAATTAACCTAATTTCTCCACTGACTGAGAATTCGCACGAAGCTGCAAGCTTGCAGAGCTTTCCAGGGCTGCTATTGTCACTGTTGCTCATTTGGGAGGATTTCGGATGTGAGAGAAAAACCAGTGTTCCAGTTAGAAAGAGCCTGTGAGGCTTTTCCTGAGGGAAGAAACAATCTGAGGAAATGCTGGGCATCCGAGCTCTGGTGGGGGGACGTGCTAGGCTTTCTGGGGCAACAGACAGTGACTTTGCGGACCAAGCCGGCTCTGCGCGCAGACCCGCGCCGCGTCTGATCCATGCTCCAGCGTCAGGGTCGTGCGCGCCGGGCGCCGGCTTCCCCCACGCGGTGCGTCCCCGCCAGGCCCTTGCGTCCCGCGCCGGCACGCGCCCCCCACGAACGAGAACAGCCCATGGCTCTTTGAAAGTCATCTCCGGTTATCTCTTCTTCCCCTCCGGTGGGACAGACTGTGAAGGAGGACTCGCTGCCAGCCGCGACCCCGCTGGTGACGCCGCAGAAGCCTGGCATCGCGCCGGACAGCAGCCTGCACAAGGACCTCTTCGGCGCCATCTCCGGCCTCGGTAAGGCTCGCGCGCGGTTCGCGGCCCTCCGCTCTGATCCTGCACGCGCCTGCGTCCAGCGCGAGGGGGCCGCCCCGACCCTCACCGGACGGCCTCGGAGTCCAGGTTTCTGCCCCGACCGTTCTTGGCCTGGTCTTGATATTTGATGATTGCAATCCCTCAACTCGACCCTGAAATGCAGACCTCCGAATTGGCAGGCATTGCAGATTCGGTACACCCTAATCACGGGCTTGTGCTGTTTGCTGTTAGTGCCTACGTTAATGTAGTATTTTAAACTTTCACATTGGATTTTTAGAAAAGGAATGTCTTTGCAGGTGTGGGGGGGTGGGGTGGGATGTGGGTAGGATTTATTTGTGGTGATAGTGATTTCGATGAAATGTGATAGAATAATTACCGAGGAGATAGTGGTCTGTGGCAAGAATACAGTTCTAAAATCGGTTTTCTAAAATCTTCTTTCCTAGGATATTTTTCTCTCTGATATAATGTAAGAGCAACCCCCATGGGGAAGAAAACAGATGGCATAAGTCAAGATTCAAATTGAGTAGTACTCTGTAAGAAAATGCCTGAGAAATGTACTTATTAATATTCTAACTAATTGAGCACCTGTGCCAAATCCTTCATAAAGATAATGGTATACAAAAAGAAAGTAGATGTGTCTTCCCAGAATTGTCACAAACACTCACAGGTTTATTCTGTCTTTATTTCTCTCTTTCACTACATTTTGAATAAATGAAGCATCCTGCTGTGGCCAGTGCTTGGGACACCCAGTGGGTGGAATTAACTCACAGGGCAGAATAAAGGGCAGTCCTCTTCGCCCTTTAATTTGCAGGAGTATTGTTTATTCTGAATTTACGGCCTTACCTTCTTTGTTGTTCTTGATGTCAAGATGCTGTTTCATGTAGGTGATGAAAGTGAGCAGAATGTAAAATCAGAAACCCCACACCAATGTCCAGATTTATCCTACAGTACCAGTCTTTAGTCTTGCTAATGCTTGTGTATATTTTTCATAGTTGTAGTTATCTCATTAGGCATCGTAAAGATTAAGTGAGTTAATTCATGCGGAATGCTCAGAGCAGAGACTGACTGTATTTGCCTTTCTCCTGGGGCCCTCACTTGTCTTCTTTGCCCTGCTCTGCCCACACACCCAGCCACTGCTCCAGGGGTGGGAAAGCGACTTTCATGGGAAGATTTTGTCTGCAGGAGCTCACAGCACTGGCTTTAAGGTCAGACAGAGGTGGTTTGGAATCCATACGCCATCAATTTCTAAGTGCCCTGAGCAGCATGTCTCTCCTCTTTGCCCTCAGTGTCCACATCTCCAAAACAGAGTCATAGCAAGGAGTGGAAAGCTTACGCGATGTGCACAGTGCTCAGCATGGTGACATTATCTGACTGCCATTATAACAAGCACAATTCTTCAGTGTTACGCATGCTTTGTGATACACTCTAGGTAGCCAATTTCATGACTCTTGGGGCCCAGGAATGTGTTGAAATCTTAACTCCCTGACCAATACTCTGTAGGATTCAAGACTCTGGAAATGATCAAACCAGAATGAGGTGATGCTTTGACTGTGACTTTATTTTCCAATTCTGCATCACCTTGTTAGGGTGTAGGTTGCCTTGAGAACGTAAAGAGCCATTGGGTATCATTACCAAGACTCGAACGGCATTAATGACCTTCAGTTGCTCTGTATTCACGATGAAGTTATGAAAAGTATCAGAGACTGATTTAATCCCTTTTCACTCTCTTAAATTTCAAGATCTGAATCCACTTTTCTTAGGAATTCAACCTAACAGACTTGTTTATCCTCAGACTTCATCTCTATTACCCCCATCTTTAAAGACTTAAGTCCTTGTTCCCTTTTAGAAATGCCTTCCAGAAAAGCCCCCACCTTTGAACTGGGTTTGCTAGTTTTCTGGTAGCTTTTCTTTTATTCACTGAGGGGTTTCCAGTTAACTTGAGTCCTGGTTGTTATCCTTCAAGAGCAGACTTTCTCCTTACATCTCTTATTTAGTAGAAATCCTCTTTCCTCACCTATTGAGAATGCACCTTCAGCATTGTTTTTAAATGCCTTTGGAACTTGGTGCATGAAGATTTCTAGAACTGTTCATTGCCTGGATAAATCTACTCCGAGATCATATTCGTTTTAAAAGGCACACATTCTTAGGCTCAGGGTTTCCTTTTCTACCTGCTCAGTGGTTTGCATTGGGCTGTCTATACAAAGAAGACAGAAGTAACCAAACTTCTTTTCATTTTACTTACATGTTGTTTAAGATTTTTAAAATGCACTGGGCTGAGATATTAAGTACAAACACACACACACACACAATGGGAATATAGTTCTACTAAACATGTTGATTTTGATTTATTGCATTTCCATCTGTTTGCCTTAGATTAGGACTCCATTTCTGGAACGAAGCCTAAAACCCTGGGAATTTAAGGTCTAATTTTACTTTACTGAGGACCTCTTTCTCATGATCATTATGTTCTACATTAAATATGAAGTATGGTTATATTAGGAGGACTATAATTATAAGTTGGTCATAAAGTATGTTTTATCTCTTAAGTATAGAAAAAGGCTCATAGTTTTTTCGTAGGTTTTTACCTATGACAATCCATCACACAGTTTCTGTTCTGGGATGAGGCAGCCTGGGACCAGTGGTTTACATGTTCCAGCCATCACTTACATTTTTACATTTTCAAATTCCCCTGGTGGTTCTTTTCTTAATTTTAATATGCTGATTCAGTTTCGGGGATGTTGGTGATGGATAAACCTGAGTGTTAGGTAGAGGGAGGGATTAACTTAGAATGTGTCTCAGGGGTACCTGGGTGGCTCAGTGGGTTGAGCATCCAACTCAATTTTGGCTTGGGATGGAATCTCAGGGTCTTGAGATCGAGCCTCACGTTGGGCTCCATGCTCAGCGTGGGGTCTGCTTGGGATTCTTTCTCTCCCTCTACCCCTCCCCGCCTCACACTCTAAATAAATAGGTAGGTAGATAGATAATCTTTAAAAAAAGGAAGTGTCTCAGTCCGTGACAGCTAATTGGCATCCTAAAATCTGAAAATGGCTGGCCTGTTCTGAGGTGTTGGGTGTGGGAGGCCGTGCTTACAGCTTGCTGGAGCATGGTGCCAAGAGGCTCTTCATACAGCGTGCACAGCCAGCCAGGCCTTTGAGCTGGAGGCACGCCTTTTGGTTCAGCATGGAATGTACAAGTTTGATAGTTGTTTTAAATTATGTGATATACTTAAATCTTACCTACGCAGGAATTCAATCTATTACTTTTAAAAATTCCATAGCACTGAGGTGGGGGCTGATTTCTGACTTCAAATGCTGTTTTTTTCACGGATGTCACACATTTTATTTCTAAGATACGTTTCATTTCTGCTCAGAACTGTTGCAGAGATTCCCAAACATTCTCCATTCACAGCACGCTTATTGTCACAGTAATTTTTTCATCGAGTGTCCAGGCCAGAGTAAATACCCAACAGTTCTGTTTATGAGGTACTTGGAGCCACATAACCTAATAAGTTCTTATATCTGAACAACTTAGTAGGCATTTGAAAAAAAATACACATAAAAAAAATTATTTTTAATAACCACAGCCATTACCAATGGGATGTGAGTGCCTGTGAGGCACCGCCCAGCTTCTCAAATTTGGAGTCAGATTGCTCACCACCATCTTCATTTCCTGTTCCACATTGATTTTCACCCAGTACCTGCTTTTTATCATAGCAACCACCAAATCCCTAGTTTCACAAAGATGTGACATCATCGAAAGGAATGTAGCACGATCTAACATTGAAACTGCAGTTTCGGTAGAAACTGCAGTTTTGAGCATCATCGTGTTTTTCTTGAAAATGTAAAACATCCCAAGACACCCCTGTGAGTTTCCTAGGGCACCTCAGCATATAGTTTGAATACTGTGGCTTATTGCATGGTTTCATGTTTTGATTTGATAGTTGTAGATGGATTTATCTTTTTAACTTTTTTAACGTCTTTGTCTCATTCTGGAACAGTGTGTGTTCCTTTAGTCTGAGAAATCAAAGGTAGCTTCACATAAGTGAATTCTTGGTTATGTCTGAATGTTTCGGCTTATGGCCTGGTTCTTTAAAGGTGAGGTAGTTAAATGAAACTCTTGAACCAACTTAGCAAAAAAAAATAAGTGCCGTAGAAGCAATTTCCCTTAAAGTATACTGCTTATCTTTATCTTGTTGTATCTCACCAAGTCTTTGGTCTTGGCTTAATTTCTGTTTAGCTTCTCCATATACAACGTCAACTCCAAACATCAATAGTGTGAGAAATGCTGATTCAAGAGGATCTCTCATAAGCACAGATTCGGGGAACAGCCTTCCAGAAAGGAATAGTGAGAAAAGCAATTCCCTGGATAAGGTAATTTCTTTTCATATAACTTAAGTGTTTCTTACAGCTAATGGATTTAGCCCCAGAGTAACCCATGCTTCATGTTCCGGTGTTCATTAAGTGTGACTTTTTTTTTTTTTTTTTTTAAATAACTCAGTTAACCTGGAGTTATTATCAGAGTTATGATCAGAGTATTATCTAAGGATGGGGCCCATTTCCTGAAATCCCCCCAATTTTTGTTTCCAAGATTTCACATCAGGGCAGTGTTTACAGTGGAGGACCTTGAGCACATAGTTTCGGCAGGTTGGACAGGTAGGGAGATCAAAATGCCACTTGTTTAGAATCGCCATGGTCTGTATGCCAGAGAATACCATTTATACACAGTTATCCATGCAAATGGGTGTTGGGTCCAGAGCCAGCTCCAGAAAAATTAATTGATCATCTAGGTGATTCAGGGATAAGGCTTTATTTGTAACCAACTCACACTGGTACCCCCAACACAACACATCCTCCTTATATTTAACATTTTTTCTTGAAATAATCAAGGGTCAAGCTATTTGGAACTTTGTGGGAATGGATAAAGCTTGAATTTAAACCTGGAACAATGATAGATTGGTGTTGCCTTAGCCACTGTTTTCCTAAGTTATTTCAAGTTATAGGCAAGCACACATACCAATAAACAGGTGAACTACTTAGGGATGTATTTCTAGTTCTCAGAAACGTGCAAGATGTCCTTCAGCATCAGGTTTGTCATTGTACCTACATTTCTGTGGCTGGCAGTGACACAATTATCCTTCAGTGCGGTTCTTTTAGAGGCGTGAGCATCTCAGTGTGGGTGTGTGTCATGACGCGTTGAACTTTCCCCTTGACCGTGACTTGCCTTCATGTGTAGAGTGAGAAGCTGCTCAGGAGGCATTCTGCTTGCGTCATACGCAGTCCTGGAGAGGAAGAAGAGAACTGCCAGTCAGCCAGGAAAAACCGGGTCACTGTGGATTTTTCTCTTCTAACAATCCCACCTTTGCCAGAGGAAACTTTGCATGCGGCACCTTCCCTCCCACTGCAAGAAGTACTGGGTTCTCCTAGTGGCCCTGGCGAAGTGGGTGGGCAAAATGATGCATTCACACTACTGTTTTGCCACTAACTGCACCTGTATTTCTTTCTATAATAAAAATACTCATGTCTGATATTAATTAAACCTGTTTACTGTATATTTTTTTCAATTGCCCCCCAATACCTCGAATGAAAGATAATTTTTTTATTGATCTTTCTGCTTTGGTATTTGCCAAAAAAATAAAAAAAAATCCTGCTTTCAATTGGCAATATAACTTTGAAGATTTTAAAATCTCCTGTGTTTTTTTAATCAGATGAGATTCTTTTTCTTTTTTTTTTCCTAATGTGAACCCCTTGAACATGTAAACTTGCTGTCTAGTGGCAAAACTGCTCTCACCCTGTGCCCTGTGCTTTCTGAAGTTTGCAGTGTTGAGCTAAGCTGATGAGGGAATGATCTCATCAGTTTAGGGTCTTTGGCAAGCTCTGCTGAGGTGTCCCTGTTTGTTCCCATTGGGTACCTGCCTATTGTTTTCCCCCCAAGGGTGCCCCATGATGTCAGCTGAATGACAGGGACTCAGCGCTAGGCTTTTGTGGCTGGTACACAACAGGAGTGTAGATTTTATTTGCTCTTTCAGCCACTGGCATTCTCCTGAGGATATGGTTGGTTCTGTGGTGTCTTCTGACTCATCATTTCTGTGTTTAATCCTAGCACTCATCCTTTTTTGCATGAGATTGTACTTGACATTTTAGAACTAAGCTGGTAGCTACAGCTAAGGTTATCCAGTTTGAAAAGTCTGTGCCTGCTGGCTTGTCTCTTGGGATAGTATGCAAAGGAGGCAAGTCAGAGCTTCTGTGGACTAGCACCTGTGTGTGTATTTGGTGAAGGTGTGCCTGTGGTTTGTCGACAAATGAGTTATACCTTCCAATTTGTGTGATTTGACTCAATTCTAAGAACCTTTCTCTTCCAAGGGAGAAAAATGAACCTAATTTTGTTTTACTTGGAATGGTGGATTTAAAAAATCACCTGTATTTCCTTTTTTTTAGCACCAACAAAGTGGCACTTTGGGAAATTCTGTGGTTCGTTGTGACAAACTTGACCAGTCCGAGATTAAGAGCCTGCTGATGTGTTTCCTCTACATCTTAAAAAGCATGTCTGATGGTAGGTAAAAGTGAAGTTTGTCGGTTTTACTTTGTTTCAGTCTTTGGTTTCTTTTTTTAAAACTTGTAATTGCTTGAAAGGATAGAAGGACTTAAAAAGCTTTTCTTCCTCATTTGAAATACATGTTAGTTTACTAGATGTAGCAGAAATAAGAGTCTTAATTTGAAAAAGGGTTTTTACTAATTATTCTAGAAAGTGAGTTCTAAACTGTGCATGGACCATTTAAAAAAAAATTTTTTTTATTAAACTCAGACCTACCATCGTAATTAAAGGAGACAGAAGCAGATAAATGAGGTAGCCTTTTATTTTTTTTAAAAACAATTTCATTTGTCCAAACGAACTTACTGGCAACTTGCGTAACTTTATTAGTCAGGCTCTTGAATTGGAAGATGGAGTGTTGGGGGATCTAAGCATCTCTTCCATTTAGAGCATGTGTGACATTCTGGATTTAACTGGAAGTGAGATGTGATTTTTTTAGTTTTTCATGGAATTAGTGGTAACATAGTAGATTAAGTTTCTCATGAAAGGTTTGACAACCACATTTTGTGATAGAATAAAGCATGTGAACATCCGTGAAACTCTGGTTTTGTGATATAAGCAATCACATGAAATCGTGCCATGGTACAATGTCATGTTTCTTCCTTGATCAAAAATCTTGTCTTACTTTCGCTGCAATGTAGCAGAAAGTGTCCTGTGAAGTGTACTGAGTGAAGGCAAAGTCTTTTGAAAACAAAATGCTGAAGGCCTCTCGTGCTGCCAATGTGGTGGCAGTCAGTGTGGGCCTTAAACATCCAGCGGAAGGCATTTCTGCCTGAAAATAGTGTTTCTTTTCTATCAGGCTTCCATTTCTCCAGCATTAATAGCCAGACCTTAGTACTCAGATGTTAGGAACTGCATACCTGTCTTTAAGATGCTTCAGGACTGGGTTATTTTATTATTCTGTCAATTTGTTACTTTAAAGGAGCTTTTAAAAACACAACAGACAGACAATATTTTCCTTGAATGATGACCAAATAGCAAAGCACTGGGCACTTATTCAGGCGTTTGGGTTATAAAGTTGAAATTCTTCCCTCAATGTCAAAAGTTCTGAACTTTATATCATGATGGTGAGTTTTAGCCAGCTTTGTAATTCTATTTTTCCTTTGTTGAAAGTTTTCCTTAAAATATTTTAAGTTTCAAATAATAAATATAATTTATATAACTAGAACATAACTACTTTTCTAAGACCAATGTACCAGAAATTTTGCATCCAAGTGAAAGTTTTCCTTTAAAGATAGCCCTTTGGAAGGCCATGCACATACTTGCATGCAATGACCTCTTCAGAACAGTTTTAGAGCTTTTAAAAAAAAAAAAAAAAATTACCTTCAACGTATCAGTTTCCTTCCTCTTATAATTTGAATTTGTGTGTGGGTCATGTTAAAGAAATCTTCACCTACCCCCAGAGTCATGAAGATGTTCTTCGTTATCTTTAAAAGTGGTATTATTCAAATTTTCACATTTAAATCTTAATATCTACCTGGACTTGATTCTTATGTATGGTATGGGGTGGGGGAGAAATTGTCTTTGGAGTAGTTTACCAGACAGACAACCAGAGTCAACTGTGTAACTGTGTAGCTACTCTTTCCCTTTACCCACGTTCAAGGAGCACCTCCTACCCATTGGGCCCCTACCTCCTTCATAGAGGTTAGTTGTCTTCCCCCTCTCCTTGGTCAGTAGCCTCAGCCTCAGTCAATAGTCAAGTGCAGGGAAAGGCAGCTTGGTGTCCCTTGGCTGACCAGCCGGCTCTGTCTGATATGTGCTGGGGTGACCACAGATATCTGCAAGTTGACCCAGACAGGTCCTGCTCACCGCATGGGGATGGCCAGTCTCAAGTAACCAGAGTCTGTTCCTCTGGAATCTAAACTCAGAATTCCTGAAAGATGGAAGCTCACTGACCCACCCATGTTACTGGTCTAATAAACTAAACATGGCTTTTAAAGTCAGGTGATTTAAGTCCCCATTCCACCATGATTCTTTAGGCTGGTGATGGGAGAACCACTTGACTTCTCTGAGCCTTTATTAGCTTATCTGTAAATTGGAACACTGCCCCTGATTGTGGTGGCAATTCATGTACAATCATGAGACCACCTAGCACACAGTGCTCACAAATAACAGATTCTCCATGTATATCTCATGGCTTCCCCTGCCTGTCACCATTCTTGATAAGTGTGGAGTGAAAAGTCCATGGCCGGGCGCCTTCATGAGCCATCAGCGTCTCTGCACACACGCTCTCATTCACCTCAGGCCCCAAAATTCAGTGGCTTTTCTCCCTGAGAGAAATCTCTTCACCAGTTTCTCAACCTCAATATAAAATATAAGAATGCAAAAATGTTTAACTACCCAGTGATAACACTGTTTGTGCAATTCTAAAAAGTTAAGGGTCATACACAGAGAATGCTTCCTGTAAACGGATTTGTAGGATTTGGCTTTACTGAAAATATGCCAGGTCATCTTGATGCAGAGCAGGTATGAGTGTGACTTCTTAATCGAGAGTATACTTCATCATCATGCTGGGAAACAGGAACTTGCACACGTTGCTTGTTTGGAAGCCTATTTGGCAACATCTGTCAAAATTTTAAATGCACATAAATTTGACATGGCTATTTCGTTTCTAAGAATATTTGTCCTATAGATACAGTTAGACAAGTGTGCAAACATCCATGTAAAAGGATATTCTTTGAAGCATAATTTAATGTAGCAAAACATTAGGGGGGGAAACAAGTAAATGTCTATCAGTAAGGGGCTGGCTAACTCAATTATACTGCATTCATGGAGAGGAATATCAGGCAACTTGGAAAAGATTGGAATAGATCGAAGCTATATTATTACTGAGTTAAAACTCAAAGGAAAAGCAATGTGTGAGCATGTACGCTTCCATTTCTGCATGTATGTGTTAGGAAGAGAGTACTTAAAGTATATGCAAGAATTTTCAACAGATTCCTTCCTGGAGAGAGATCTGTATTAGGCAAAGAGAGAGCCTAACTTGAGATTATTTGCCTACTTGTATTCTTTGAAATTTCTGACCCACTGAAGAGCACATTATATGTAAGTTAAATATGTACTATATAGTGCTAGGTGATAAATGATGAAATTAAAGTTCAGGTGTTCAAATGCAGCTTCTTTAAACTGAATATGCACGTTGTGTATGTTACCGGTAAAGATTGGTCACTGTGGTTTGTTCTTTGATCAGCTATAAAAGGGTTTGAGGGTTTATACTCCAAAATCTTTTCCCTATCCCCTAATGTATATAATACACATCACGATTCTGACTAAATTAATGTTTACTTTCTAGATGCTTTGTTTACATATTGGAACAAGGCTTCAACATCTGAACTTATGGATTTTTTTACAATATCTGAGTGAGTAGTTTTGTTCTGCTTATTGCCTCTTGATTTTTCCTGGCTAATTAAGAGGTGTGAACAATGCTATGTAGTTGAACCAGGAATGTAGTATATTCACATCCACCCTTTTTAAGCTCTTTCTGCTGGACCTGACCCCAGCACCTGCTCTCAGGAGCACATGACTCAGTGGGCAGTGACCAACCCTCAGTTATTAGATATGTGGTTGTTATAGATGAGAGCTAACTACTTATGTGTAAAAACCATTTGAATAAAATGACACAATTTATTAGCTGAATTGGGTGGATGCTACATTTCGAAGGAGAATCTAACAGCTCAAGCAGATGTAAAAACTGAGTCAAAAATAGCTATAATTTTTAAATGTAAGTGAAATCATAATTTTATCTTTATTACCTCATTTTATCTCTTCAATCTAAGTTTCTGATTTCCTTTAAGCTCTTTGCTTTAAAAAAAAAAACCACGAATCCACAATCCCTTATGCAAAATTGCTGGGGCCAGGGGCACCTGGGTGGCTCAGTCAGTTAAGCGCCCAACTCTTGATCTCAGCTCAGGTCTTGATCTCAGGGTTATGAGTTCAAGCCCTGCGTTGGGCTCCACCCTGGGCATGGAGCCTACTTAAAAAAAAAAAAAAAAATTGCTGGGGCCAGATGATTTTCCAAATCCAAAATTTTTGGATCTTTAGAAAATTTACATATAGAGCATATTCTATAACATCCCTGCAAGGTCTCAGACAGCACCCCACAATCAAACACTTTATTGTTTCTGCAGTACTATGATTGTTCACAATAATTAGGTAAATTATAACTGTAAATCGCTTTATATCTGTTAATTGAGGTCATGATTTTGCTGCCAAATATATTTGCCTAAACTCAGGTGGAAACCTATGGTGTTCAGAGCTTTGTGCATTTTGGATTATGGTCTTGGTTCATAGTTGCATGATTATTCTCTCTGCTAAGTTAAACAAGGGAGAGAGATGAGATTCAGCACTAGAAGAACTTACTGGACATTATTATAACTACTTCTTACTAAATATATGATTTTTAAAAAAAAAAAATCAGTACTGTGGATATATGAAAACAAACCCCAAAACCAGATATATGATGTCTGTAAGGGACCAGTCCATTTAGAAAAGCCAAAAGAGGGAGCTCCTTGCCCAGATTGAATGAGGACAAATAAGCATCTGGGGACAGTGCCCCCACCCTGTGCTTCCCCCAGCGCCTGTGCTGAGACAGACTGCGTGAGTCAACGTCTAAACCCTGAGTCGATGGACAATCCTGTGGTCCCAGGCCTCTCTGTGGCTTTAACTGCCCAGCACAGCATGGGGCCTCCCCTGTAGGGTGGTGATTTTCTCTGGGTGAGAGAGACCTTCCTGAGGATTTCTGACCACCAGAAGTAAGAGGCTCATGGTAGGTGTAAGAGTTTATTGAATGTGTTGTTGCTGGTGGGTTTAAATAAAGCAATGTATTGGAAACCATTTTATTTTCCTAATAACCTTTCATCCTGTCTGCAGAGTCTGCTTACACCAGTTCCAGTACATGGGCAAGCGATATATAGCCAGGTACTGTGGGGGTTTAGTTTGAATGTGTATCATTCCCTGTATTACTTGGATCTGAATGTGTGGAAATTGTCATCTGTGATGATTGGCAGTTGGAATTCTCATAACCAGCCGCGATGTCTTTGGACTGCTACCGTCAAATCTGGTGGCATCTTTCACCTGCATTCCCACACTGCTTCTGTCTCATTTTGCCTCATGCACATCTCTTGGAAGGATTTCCCTTTATGGCCTGCATGCTTCCTTCCAAATGCTCCCCGTGTTCTGTTCCTTCCGTGTCCCCTTCCTCTTCTCCCAGCTCCCCCAGGTGTGTCTTCTCGCTCTTTTCTCCTCCTTCAGTGGTTTCACTTCCCCTGTTTGACTTTCAGAGGTCACTTTTTACCATTCCTTCTCCCAACTACAAAGACGTTAATTTCTCACATAACCATTTTTCCTTTTTTCTTCATAGAAGAATGTTTTCAGTCCATCTCAGATTTGTTCGGACTTCCATAAAAACCTTCTCTGCAATGGAGCCTTTTCTCCTCTTAGTCCCAGTAAGCTGTCCATACCCTGCTTTTGTCTGACCAGAACTCTTGGTTGAGTTTCATAAATCCTCACGGCCCTGCCCCACACTATCCTCTGAGATCCATACCGAGTTCAAGGGGAGCTGGAACCTCATTGTGAGGGGCACCCAAGCCTCTCCTTTTCCTTAGAGCACATCTTGTCCTTACCACGTCCTCACTCCTGCTCTGCAGCTGCTCAGTGCATCTGTATTTGTTTTTGTCCATGTTGTGTATCCTGTGATAATGTATTTAGGGGGTTGGTCTAAGTATCCTATTTTTCCGTTGTTATTATTTATAGGTAAACATATTTATATTTTAGGAAAAACTTCAAAATTTACTAGTGATTGAGTTTTTTCTCTTATCTATAATTCTGTTTTACAGCAGTGAAACAGGAAAGAGATTTTTAAGATTATTTGAGTGTGGAGATTTTACTTTTTATGTTAACATGTTCTTTTCTTGGGATATTTGAGACATTTCCACAATTATGTTTCATGTTCAATAAAAGTTTGTGGGGTTTTTTTAAAGAGCAAATTTAGAGAGTATATTTTACGCTTTCATCCTATTCATATTTATTTTTAACCGAAATGCGGTGGCACTTAAAGTTCTCTCATTTTAACTGTCATTTTTTATTGCAACAGTAAATTATACATTTGCACTTTTGAGTACCAAATACAAGTATATACAAGGTGACCTTATACAGTAACACCTCACACCCTGACTTCATTCCCTCTGACTCTGCCCCGTGAAGATGGGCACACAGTATATTTGTAACCGGAAGGCACTGTGCCTGGCAAGCTTCACAGCCTTCTTGCAGTAACTGTCACCCACAGCACAAGATGGCATTTGGAGAGCGTTGTGCAAAATAGGGTGACATGCCGCAGAGTTGAACATGGTGCGTGTGGGAAGCTGAAGATTTCTGCCCAACAAAATATTTTAGAATTGGGTTTTGTGTAACTGAGAACTTATTTTTTATTTAATGGCTATGAATTTAATTTTTTTAAAAAATCTTCTGACTTTATAAGCACCCTGTATATATTTGCATGTAAAAGTGTGCTTCCTTGGGCTGTCCTAAAAATAGATGGGCATAGGAAGGTGGGAGTGGAAGGTGGTGTTGCTTGTTATGTGCATCGTGGAAAGATGTGCCCTGCTTTATAGAAAATTCCTGTGGTTTCTGCTCCATGTGACAAAGATCCTGAGCAGGAGTCTGAACGCTGTTGATGTCTGCCCTCCGTGGCAGTCCGGTCTGATGAATACTGCGTCTTCTCGTTGTGTCCCTCTGAAATCACCCAGCAGCATGTTGCCCGGTGAAACTCCATGCATGCCCTGTTCAACTCCACACAATAACACAGTGAGGGAGACGGTTGGCTCCGGGCCGGGGGACAGGTGTCATTCCAGCACGGGTCTCATTTTTCATCTGCTCTGGTGATGGTACACAGTAGGAAGTTAGCTGTTTGATTGCTAACCCAGATCACTTTTCTATTTTCTTTACTTGACTGCTGACAAGTTTAACAAAGTGTGTGGCTCTTCTCCTTCCTGCCTGGGTAAGAATAAAGGTGTTAAAACCGCCTCATATAATCCCTCTCATTGCATGTTTGTTCTGTTTCTTCCAATGCATTGTTTTCATTAAAAAAATATATATATTATATTTTTTTTTTTTTGCTCTTTAATAACATATATAACCCGAAAAGATTCGTGGTGTTTGGCAGTTGTCAGAACGCTAACCTTTAGCACCACGTCGGACTGATGCTCCAATTTTTAAAAAGCAGCATCTCTATAGTACATTCTAAAACTCAAAAGTTCCCTGCTTTGGCTTGATTTTTGCTTCTTCGCCATCAGGTGCTTTGCTGTGAACCTGTTAGGAGCTGCCGCCTGTGTGTGCGTCTCTGGCTCACCCGGCCCCAAGCAGGCCGCGCTGCTCCTGGTCGGAGTGTGGCCGGTCCCCTTGTGCTGTGTCCTGGCCTCACTAACCCTCCTCGTCTCGCTGCAGTGTAACAAGTCTAACTTTTGCTTCTACCCCATTTCACTCATGTTGCAGGAACCAGGAGGGGTTGGGACCCATAGTTCATGATCGAAAATCTCAGACATTGCCTGTTTCCCGTAACAGAACAGGAATGATGCATGCCAGATTGCAGCAGCTGGGCAGCCTGGATAACTCTCTCACTTTTAACCACAGTAAGTCCCATGACATACCATCGTAACAGCCAGCCATCTCATGTGACATCTCAGAGGGGAGAGCCCCAGGCCACACCACACCACATCACCAACTTGACTTTTCTTCCAGCTCAGAGCAAGTGGGATGAAGAGCTCATGGCGAAATTCCCTTCTTTGGAGGAGAGTGACACAATGTGGAACATGGTCAGCTACGGCACCAGACCTAAAGTGCTGGACCCTTTGTCCCAACCCCCTCCATTCAGTATTTTTAACGTAAAATTTGGTGGGTTTGACAGCCAAACATTCTCTGATATCTTTAATTTAATATTTGGATTTTCCCTGTGCAAGTCCTGAGGACATCTGGGACAGGTTCCTTTCGTTCTTCTGAGCCCATGCATGTAGTTGATCAAGTGTCCACATTCTGACATTCCAGCTTTGAATGTATGTTAATCTTTAAACTGCTGTGAAAACATAAAGCCCATGAATCAATTTGTGAGGGTGTGGAAAAGCCAATAACAAAGTGACTTTTTCTGTGTTTTCAGTGTGAGAAAGATATCAAGTGTGCTTGGAATTTCTGTAGACAATGGTAAGATTTAATCAGGTTGAAGTCTGCTTATGAGGCCGCTTCACTTGCAAACCGAGACCTTTTTGTTCATCTTGCCTTCCTAACTTTGGGGCTTTCTAACTTCACAATAGAGGTTCTATCAAAAAGTGGGAGCATATTTTTTAATTTACCATTTTCATATCCCCAGAGGAGACATGGCATCATATACTATTTCTAGAAACTTAAGTGTTTTGTCTCTTTAAAGGTTTCTCAAAGCAGAAAACCTAAAAGCTATCAACCATGTGGTATTTTAAAAAACTGATGCCATCATTTATAATAAATACCATTTCTGTTAGTGATGTGTTCTCTGAATTGTTTCATCTTTTCTCCAAGCATAACATCGCTAGTTACTGTCTTATGTAGACAATTATTTGTTCTCACTCCAAGTAATGCCTTTAATGTATAGTTATTAATATCTTCTCATCATTTCTAATCATAAGAATTCCACTCACTGTGATCTTCCTGTCTCTTTCTTTATATAGGCTAAGAGTAAAGACAATATTCCCAATGCTTTAAATTGATAATAGTTCAGAGTAAGAAGGCCGAGGCATCGAAATACAGCAGCTATCCACTCTTTCACCCCAGCAAAGTTTGATGGAATGGGTATAGACTCTCTTGGTAAAATTCTAAGCTTAGTTTAGATCAGTATTATATTTGCCTGCCACACACCGAATCGGTGGCGTTCAAGAGCTAGTGCTGAGTCCTACACTCCGCTGTAGGATGTACGTTCATGATGCATCTCAGGCTACAATACTTGATTTTTCCATATCTTGTCAGTTAGGGCTTTTTCTAGCTCTGTAGACAAGGGGTTGAAACAAACAAAACAAGTTTTGTTGTTTTTAGTTGTCGTTTCCTATTTAGCAAACAAATTAAATTCTCACTGTTCTGCAGGACTTGCCACACTGCCTTTGATAGTTTATAACAGAGGCACTACCTCACTGTCAGCTGGAATAAATACTTTAAAGCACTTAAAAAAAAAAAAAAAATCAGCAGACCAAGTCCCCGACTCCAAAGATAATCATTTAGGAAACACAGAAAACAAACAAAAGTAAAACGAATGATCAACATATGAATGTATAACCTTAATCCACTGAGATAGACCGCAGCTCCTCCCACTGCAAACAGATTTTGCGATGGTGGCTTGAATTGGACGAGAGAGACAGCTGGCTGTGTTTTGCAGCCAAGCACCATATTGCTAACATGGCTGATTCCCATTCTCTCTTCCTGCTACCCACAGAGAGCCCGTCCTTCCTGCCTCTCTCCTCTTTCATCCTGTGGTTTTTGCTTCAGTCAGTTTTCAGTGACACCATCCTCAGTCAGTGTCTCTCCTTCTGCCTTCCCTATAAACAGTGTGTAGCTGATTCTTTTAGCCTTCTCCTGTGTTCCTACAATTCCTGCTCATCCCAAATTGGTTCTGGTGTCTCACAGTCCTTGCATCTTCTCCTAGAACTCAGTCTCCATTTACATCTCTAAATCTGATGATGTATCTAGGTGACTTTAGCCTTTTCCTCTGTTGGCTTTTTGAGCTCCAAATTGTCAGTTCTCCCAGAAGCCGCAGAAAAAGCAGTATATACTGTATGTATACATGTGTATGTGTGTGAGCATGTATACGTATATATACATACATGATTTCTTTACACCTGTGCCTAGGTATTTTATGGGAAATTTGTAGCCATATATGTCTTTTTTTAAAAGTCCTCTTTAACAATGAATACAGTACCTTCTGTTGGGCCAACCAATATGATGTAAATCCAGTATGTGAGAGATTTGCAGGGTGCCAGAGTCTAAAACTTATTTTGGAATTTATTTTGAATTTATTTTAGAAAAGAATAAAAATAGGAAGAATGCCCCCTCCCCATATACACCACCTGCATTTTTTGTTTTGTCTTTTTCTCTGAGGAGGAGAGGCTTTGTCAGGCCTCAGCTTGACCAGCTGGGGGCAGCAGAGGACCACCAGAAATTTAATCCAGTGGAGGCCAAGTTTTGTGCCCCCATTAGCAGATCCATGTAGGTCGTGGGAAAGACACCATATGCACCTTACATGTAACCATGGCAGGGTCTTATCTTTACTCTTGGATTTTGATAGGAAATAATGAAAATGATAAATCCCACTGTGGCCAAATAGTCTTCACTATTTCAAAAACACTCAGAAGATAGAGATTCATTATATTTGGGTCATTACCTAGATACATAAAAAGTAAATGTTTACAACATTAAGACATTGACCTTTTTATTGTAAAGCTCATCCTGTTGTGTATCAACAGAAGCTATTTGTGTCAAATGGCAAATTGAAAGTGATTGCTGCATGTAGAATATTTTACATAAACCATGCTGTGGGAAGGAAGCTAAGTCAGACATGTTTGCAAGTAAGTGATACATGTGCAAAGCATACAAAATAACAGTTTGCATTTACTTTGCTGTTATGTATTGCTCTAGGAATATATTCATTTGCATGATAATTCATATTTCCCACTGGTATGATAGGGCGAAAAGCCAGACAAGAGGTAGAAACACTTGAAGAAAACCTGCATTTTGTATAATTCGGTGTAAGAGAGAGTTCAAGGTCATCGGATTAAGTTGCAGAGAATTCGATTTCAGGTCATTATGGAAAAGCATTTTCTAACTGAACTGCCCATTAGCTAGTGTGGGCACTTGGAGCTGGAGGTGTGAAAACAGAGACTGGATGAGGACCCACTGGGGATATTGTCCAGGTCTCTTAAACGTCACACGGGGAGGTGAGGAGTTAGATGAGATGGCTTATAAGACCACATCTAACTCTGAAATTCTTTGACATCTGTGAAGTACAAGCAAGACAGTGAGTATCAGTGATAAATAAATTCCCTTACTGTATATAATATTGAATCAACAGGAAAAATGCAGAGAACACGTATATCCTTTGAAGTAATATTAATATTTTTTCAGAAGGTTTTTTCTTTTTTAAGATTTTATTTATTTGAGATAGAGTGAGAGACGGCAAGAGAGAGAACAAGCAGGGGGAGCTGCAGAGGAAGACGGAGAAGCAGGCTCTACACTGAGCAGGGAGCCCGACATGGGGCTCAATCCCAGGACCCTGGGATCATGACCTGAACTGAAGGCAGACGCTGTTAAGTCTGAACCATTCAGGTGCCCCTTTTTTCAGAAGGTCTTAAGCATGACAATATATCTTTTAAAATAGGTAAAAAATCGACTTGGATGCTTTAAAAGTATATACTCAAGACAGTAAATGAAATGTTTGTTCATGAAGCCACTTTTTTTTTTATTCTGAGGCAGGTTTCCTTGATTTAGAAATATATTTTTGCACATTTTCTAGCATTTCTAATATCAGGATATATCTTAAAGTTATAACAGACCTATCTCATATGTTTATCTTGCACATTATATCCAATATGGCAGCCAGTCATTGGTACTTCTTGCAATTGATGGGATTTCAGGACTGAGGAAGTCTGGCACAATGCCTTTTTAAAGTCAGGCATGTTTATATTTTTAATATCCTTTAAAAGGACTTTAAATTACAATGTATGCTTAAACCAAGTGTTTTCACAGTTTGGAATGTATATCCCATACCAGGTACTATTTTCAGACACAGCTAAACATTAGGTTGAGGTATTCTTCAGAGAAGAGAAAGCAGATGGTGTCACCATTTCCTCAGGTATAAACTCTGGGATTATAGACTCATTCCACAAATCATTTTGAGCATATTTGGTTTTTTGTGTGAATCAGAGGACAGACAGCAAATCACATAATTTTTGCCTTGGAATATTATTCCTTATTCTGTCTACTCTTCGCTCATTTGTGATGAAAATATTCTTAGCAATAAAAGTGGGACGGAGAAGAACAGATAGATAATGTAGAGGCTGATCTGTCTGATACTTTGCAAAAATATATGCAGTTAGTAAAAGCTACAGACCATGAGTTAATATTATGGAGTTAATACTGTAGTTCTAGGGGACTAGGTCTTCCACGTTTAGGGACTTCTTTTAGCAAGAAGATTCCTTGTCATTCAGTAGTATTTACTTTTTTCTCATAAAATGTATTATTTTTCTGGATTCATATTATGTGGGCCAGAAGAAAAAAATTAACAATAAAAACAAGAATTCTGGTTTCATAAAGGGTAAAGGCACCTGTTGAAAAGAAAGTGCCTCCTGTAAGAATATGTATCTCGCTTTGAGCCCAAATGTCCTCTGACATTTGGAAAAGGCGAGCGTTTATGTCCCTCCCACCACATCACTTCTGATGGTGTGGCACTGGGGAGGGGAGACGGTTTACAGATGTGGTCAGCGTTACTCTGTCAAGCTGTTCTAGTAACAGGAGTTTATTAAACAGAGTAAATTAATTAAGTCTAACATAGCAGATGACATTAGAGGGGGGGAAAAATCTCATCCTTGGCCTCTGTGTGTTTAAAAGATTTGGGGATTTTTTTTTTTTTTGATTTGGGGATTTTAGAATAAATCATTGATCAGAGTGATAAGAGAATGAAAATTGTGTTAATGTGAGCAGTGAGTCCTAAGGACACTAAAGCATTCCATGACGTGTGTGCCGAAGATGGCACATCAAGGAAGTCCTTCTCCTTTCTCTGATCAGCCTGGCTGAAGATAGTCAGTGCCCTGTGCCTCAAGGCACCACTATTCAGTAGGGGAGATCAGTAGGTTAACACAGCATTCCTTACTTGCCCCGGTGGGAATCCGCTTAATCAGCTTCACAACGTTGCTGACCGATATTTTAAGAAATTGCATTTTTTTCTTAAGACCCCTTTTTGGATGTACCAAGTCCGTTTCATTTTCCTGGGTTGGCCTGTAACATGGTGACCAATGACTAAAGCCTTTCCTCATGCACAACTTAGTTCTAGGCATTGAGACAAGCAGTTTGCATGGGAGTATCCCTCCTCGGTGAACTGTCCATGCAGTCTCTACCACTTAGACAACCTCTCCACGCTGCCCTTTATTTTTAGGGACTTTTTAATAACACTGGCTCAGGAATATTGCTGATTTTTTGAGATAGGAGTTTAAGGAAAAACAAAATTATAACCAGTTGTGGCTTAAAAGGATCATTTCTTTTATTCTTAGATGATTCAGACACAGGCAGACAGATTTCTATATGAATCTGACTGTTACCCTTAAGGAGATTAGATATACAATGTCAAGACTCATGGGTGATGTAAGAGCTGAGAGAAATTTTGTCATTGTCATGTTTCCATACGCATATACATAATTACATAAAAACTTCATTTAGCGTGGCCATTGATACT